GAAAATAGGCCAAGCAGTCTAACCTGTTAAAAGATAGAAATAGGCCCCGGCTTTTTTGAAGGCCTGCTTAGCTTAACAGGTTAGGCCTACGCCTTTTGAAAAGTTTGCTATTATCTGATGCTATTATTTTTAATATGATCTTTTAATCTATTTTTTTATATATAGTTAATGCTCCATGGAATTTTGAAATTTACTTTGCAAGAGAATATAAGGATATAATTTCAAATGGTAATGTCAATAACTAATGTGATTTTTAAATTCTAAAAATATAGATAAAATAGAAATAAAAAAATATCCTACAAGGATAGCTGAAAAGAAGCGAAAAGGTAATAAATTAATTAACCTGTATGTTACGTTAATCAAACTATGCTACATGTTATTTTGTTTCGTCACTAATTTTACCGTTACTAAATAATTAGTGAAAAAATTCAAAATTAGCAATGGAAATTTTTCATCACTAATTCATCTTTAATTAGTGACGAATATTGTACAAAAATTCTATCACAAAATAGTGACGGATCTGTGAAGAAAAATTCCATCACAAATTGGTGGCGAAAATTTCCGTCACTAATCCATCGTTAAATTTTTTTATTTTGTAAACTTAAAATAGTACATGGTAACCATTGATTGCTACCACATGTCATGTTTGTGAATGTCACCTCATTATCAGCTGCCACCTCACATTCTCCTATCCTCTGTCTCCCATGCCGCCATGTCATCCTCTCATCCATATTATCGCCATGTATCCATTATTGTGAGACGTCATATCATCAATGGCTGTCATTTCACCAACTCCTCTCTTCCATACTGCCATGTCATCTCCTCGTCCATGTCATCGTCACATATCCATCATTGTGATCTGCCACATCATCACCAGATGCCACCTCAACTCCTTCTCTCCCCGATGCAACCATGTCATCCAGTCGTCCATGTCATCACCACATGTCCATCATTATGAGCGACCACGTCATCACCTTATCCACATCATCACCGCATCATAAATTGGCTGAATTTGTGAAGGAATGTTGGTTCAAACTGGAGACCTCTTGCATGCGTGTTAAAGCCTTTGTCAGTTGAGCTGAGAAGCACATGCGAAATTTTTATACAAAAATAAACATATATAATATATCTAATAACAAATACAAATGTATATAATAAATATTATATACATAATTTAATATATATTATATAATTAAATATATTATTATTTGAACTTAATTTTTATGTTTTAGTAAAAATTTCTAATAATTTATATTTTTATTCAAATATTTAACAAAATAATAAGTATATTATATATTTTTATTTTTATTTTATTTTATAATATTTGTTTTTTTAATTTTTATAGAATATATTACTTAAAAATTATGATATATTATATTTTTATTTTAATAATAAGTTTAAAATTTTTTTATGAGAATTAGTGATGGATTGGTAACTGAAATTAGTGACAGAATTTTTTTGTCACTAATTTCCACCACTAATTATTTAGAACAGAATCAGCGATGAACTTGTAACAGAATTTAGTGATCCATCGCTAATTTAGTGACAGAATAAAATTTCATCACTAATCCATTACTAATTTAGCCAATGAAATTTTCGGTCACTAAATTCCGTCTCTAATTTTAGTGATGGAATTTTTGAAGGATTAGTGACGAAATAAAACTTCATTACTAAATTCCATCACTAATCCCTTATTTTTTTGTAGTGATACTCCAATCATGTTCACCTAAATCACAAATCAGATTTCCATTGCCATTTGCATTATTAGGCAAGCATGGGAGATGTTGAGATTGTTAGTGAATAGAATATGATGATCAATTACCATGTTTAGATTAGGTTAACTGTATGTTTATGTGGAGATTAGAAATATTTGATTCCCAAATTTTTGGATCCCTTCTTCCCTGCTAGTGCTTGAAATCTGCTTTAAATGGTGAAAAGTGAAGAATAAATATAAAAAAAAGGTAAAATCAATGAAAATAGGACTCAAATAATCAATACAAACGGTCCTAATAATAAGCTTGATTTAATCCTCCATCTACATGTGCCATGTAGTCTCAGTCTTTGTACTATGTTTATTTCTCAGTCAAGCAGTTATTTGTATAACGCCGTGCAAAACATTTTTAAAGGCGATTATTTTAATAACCACTACTAAAAATAGTCTTTCCATGATGGTTTGGTTAGTAAAACCACTATGAAAAATTTACTTTCCGTGGTGTTTTAACTAAAAAACCACCGTGGAAAGTTATTTTTCACCATTGATAATTATTAATAATTAATGAATAGGAATAAAGAGGTTGTGAATCATTTTGTAGAATAATTCAAAGAATGCATGTAATTATATAGTTCTCTTAATTATCCCACAAATTGATTTGGGGTCTCTTCAGTTTTCAAGATATTGAAAAGAATGCATGTAATTATATAGTTCTCTTAATTATTCTGCAAAGTGATTCACATGCGGTCCCATCATTTTGTATATCATCATTTTCTAATATAGACTTGTTTTTTTTATTGAAGAAATAGAACTTTTATTATGGAAGAATGCATGTAATTATATAGTTCTCTTAATTATTCCGCAAAGTGATTCACATGCGGTCCCATCAGTTTTTATCTCATCATTTTCTAATATAGACTTGTTTTTTTAAGATGACTTTCGGATTTGAAGAAAGAGAACTTTTATTATGGAATTTCTTCCCTTCCAATTGCCTAAAAATTTGACAACAAAAGTGTACACTGAATTCATATCCTCGTTCATCAGATAAGGACTTGGTTTTTCAATTATATTGGATAAGATACCATTGTTGATTGATTCATTATTTCTTTTATTAAAACTTATTATTGTGCTTTAATATTTCTTGAGAGGGTAGTTATTTGGGCAATTGATTCTGTAAGACTCTACAAAAGAGGAGAGGTTAAATATAATTTCTTCCATAAGATAAAATATTTAGCGCTAGAAATTTTTAGATTTAATTTCTTCCATTATTGTGCTAAGGTGTATCCCCCATGAGTCATGGCCCCACCTCCCAGCAAACTAAATAAGATCCAATCTTTTCACCAAAAAAAAAAAAGAAGAAGATCCAATCACAAAAGACATTGAAATGCATAACAAAGGATCTACAATCATAAAATAGCAACTAAAAAAATGGATCTACAATCAAGAGATGATGTGGATGTTGCTTCAAAATCTTTCTCGTGATAAATATGCTTCCACTTGACATTCATCCTACGCAGATTAATGCGATGATGGTTCAAGCTCCGTTCTTTATTATAAGAGACATTTGATGCTTATTGCATGTTCCCATATATAAGAGACACTTAAAAGTTGTCTCTACTTTTTTGTGTTGATTTCCTATTTTACCCCTATTTATTTTATCTCCAACTCATACTCTCTCTCCCTTCCACTTCTCTTTCTTTTAATAATTTAATTGTTCTCTCGTATACTCTCTCTCCTTATTAATAGGGGCATTGTTGAAAAAAACATTATACTTTTTTACACATTAATTATTCTTAACTAATTTTAACTGTTTTTTTTATCAACGTAATTTGATTATTTGTCTGAACGGAAAACCAACAATTACGTTGATCATGGCATACCTACCCGGCCAAATACATCTCAATAGAGAGATCCATTCTTCCACCTAAAATAGCCAACACCAAAAACCAACAACCAAGAAAGAAAATGCACACACACACTCAGATATTCCCACAAATGAAGGAAAGAAAGCGCCAACGCACACCGAAGAACAATCACAAAAAGGCATACCCAGACCCATGCATTTATAGTACCCAAAATTACTATAAAAAGTGGATACAGGCACGTCGAGATAAGCACTCCTCGAAAACAAAAAGATAAAAAATGGATATAGGAATGTCGAGATAAGAACTCTTCAAAAACAAGAGGAAATGAAACGTCCAACAATAAATGAAAACAAAACAATTAAAACAGATGCACGCATCCAGAATGATGGAACGACGTGGATGGAATAATTATCATGAGAATTAATCGCCTCAAACAAAACATAAATTCCTGCACCCATTAACCTTCCCCGCAAACTCATTTCTTCGCCCCCAAAAAATGAATAATCCTAAGCATTAATCTCCATAAAGAAATCTTAAATTCCTGACCCCTCAACTTTCCATGGAAACTAACAAAATAAAAAGTCACAGGAAAGGCTAGACGGACCAATCATAAAACAGCCATAAAAAACAATTAAAAGACATGAGCCAATAGACGAAAGCCATGTGGACCAGGCTAGCCACAACATTTATAGAATATATAGATAAATAGATAATTTACAAAATTATGAATAAATGGTAAAATAATTATTTATATTAAAAATTTAATAAAATTACTTATAAATAGAATCAAATAAAACGTTTTCTCCTTATAAGACCAAACAAGTAAATTAATTATTTATGAAAATGCAAATAACTTTATTAGCCTAATCTATCTTTTTCATCTTTTTTATAATCATATACTCATAAGATATTTTTTTTTTCATTTGACAAGCTTATTGCTTGCAAGCAGTCAAGTCATGGAGGGATCAAATTCCAATAATTGCCACCAAAAGGCAGCCTCATTTATAAGTGACTTTAATAAACGAAATTTAAATATAATCAAAATTTTCAAAGTTATTTATTTAAATAAAATTACAATTGACTAATATCATATGTGATGATTTAAAATAGTAGTTCTTTATTATTAATTTAAACGGGTAGTTTGAGGAATGCCAATTAGGATTTGAATTTGAAACATGCCTCTTGTGAGGCTTCATATTGCGTTTATGGCTTCTAACAGTCTAACACAAGATTTATTTAGAAAGGTTTATAAGTAATTTTTTAATCATAATTTACGAAATGTGAAATAAATATGTGAAATTTTTTTTTCAAATTACATAAAATGTGTTTATACATAATTTTTAACAATATACCAAAAAAAGCCATAATAAATTTGAAATGCAAAATGATACTTTTGGATAGATGATAGATGTTGCCCGGGAGCCATAAGGGATGCCTCTGCGCTCTGCTCCATCCTTATAAAATTTCTCGCGCGCATTTCGGTGTGAATTTTATCCTCAAATATTAAGAAGCCAACTAGCGAGGGAAGCAGATGACCGGCGTAACGGCGTCGCTTGGCGGGATGAACCTTGTTTGCAGAGGAGCAGCAGCAACCTCCCGAACGGTTCTCATTACTGGTGTCAGTAAGGGCCTCGGAAGAGCTCTTGCCCTAGAATTGGCCAAACGAGGCCACACCGTAATCGGGTGTTCACGTGCTCAGGATAAGCTCAATGCACTTCGGTCGGAACTTTCTGCCGCCCTAGCTGCTGCCAATTCTTCGTCATCTGAAAAGCACTTGTTACTCGATGCCGATGTGGTTAGTACTCTTTATCTGTCTTGTCTCGTTTCGTTTCTCGAATTCATTTCGGATTGTCTGCGAGTCGTTGGAAGATATTTCATGTGTAGTGAGTGTACATCGCTTTGCCAATAACTGTTGTTTAAAGAGCATTGGAATTTGAAAGTGTGTTATGAGTCAATGAAAAAAAGCTCCCTTGCTCATTTCTTTCGGGTTCAGAGATCGGATAGCAGCGTTGAGGAGCTGGCTCGTACTGTGATGGAGAAAAATGGTGTTCCTGATATTATAGGTGCGTATCCTTAGTTCATCATGATTATTGCATTTGCGTTTTCTTTCCCTTATTGTGGATGTGAGGAAATTAATGGTATAACTGTGTTAAAATCTGGAATGTGTGAGTTACAAGAAAGTTAAGCTTCTCGCCTTAACTGGAGGTGATTCCATTTTTAGGCAATATCTATCATATAACGTGCTGCTGTCAGCAATGATTTTGGAGAATTTTAAATTATGCATTTCTCTTCAGTTGAATCTGAGAATTTTTTTTTTTGGCCGTCCCTTTGCTTTTCAGCAAATTTTTTTAGGGTTGGCGTTTGTGTAGCTTCAGAGGGATTAGAAAGCTCGTCCAGTTCAATGATTGTGCTGTTTAACCAGATTTTTATTTAAGCTATATGGGCGTTGTCTATCCTCTGGTGATTTATTGCTTCCTGTTTTCTCAAACTTCTTTTTCTGAAAACAAACAATATTAATTGCATGTTGTCTGTGGAAATTTGGTGAAGAAATTGATCATCCTCCTTATACGACGCTGGTTGTCAGTTCACAAGAATGCTATTGAGGTTTTGCAGCTGGTATATCAGTTGAGTTGCCCTACCAAAATACAGGAAGAAAATTATATTTTCATGTCTGATCTTAAAGTAATATACAGTTTCTTTATTTTGTATTACAGGGAATTGTAATTATTCAGAAGGAAAAGCTTATAAACTCAACCAGCTGATGGATTTTAGGCTTTATAACGTCCTTAATTCAGTTTATCTTGATTTTAATGTGTGTCTGTTTGATTCTGTCATTTATCATATGGTGCTTTTGGACAGTCTGATATACTAAAGCAAAGGGTACAATCAGTAAATAACGCAGGCACCATTAATAGAAACAACAAGATTTGGGAACTTCCTGTTGAAGAGTTTGATAATGTAATCGATACGAACATCAAAGGAACGGCCAATGTATTACGTCATTTCATCCCTCTTATGATCACAAGGAAGCAAGGAATCATTGTCAATATGTCGTCTGGATGGGGAAGAGCTGGTGCTGCACTGGTTAGTTGAGCATATAGTAGTCATATGTCCCTAGATTATTATTTGGTTGCCCCACTCATAATGCAGATAGCCTAAACTTTTTCTTGTCTAAATGGAAGTTCTTAAACATAGATTTTCACGAAAGAATGACATCTGATTTTTGTGTTTGATTCTAACCATCTTGTTTCTCAAAGGAAGTCCTGGAACTTTAGGATGCTTTTTTGGAGAAAACAGTGGCAATGGGGAATGGGGGGCTAAATAAAAGTTGTTTAATCTGAGATGAATGTGAAGACATACAGCAGTTCTTGTGATTCAGTTCTCAAATTATGCCTTTTTGGGCTTTTCTATTTCTGGAAATTATGACAAGTTTCTTCTTGGCATGATGTTCGTGCGTGATTTACCAAATTCCTACAATCTGATCTTGGTTTTCAATGTTATAAGTCTATGTGGATACCTGACTCACCATTTCCAACGTTTCCAACTGCCAACATCCTTCATTAATATCAACTGATATTTGACATTCTAGCATTGTGCAACAGGTTGCACCTTACTGTGCATCAAAATGGGCTATAGAAGGGTTGACTAGGTCAGTGGCAAAGGAGTTACCTGAAGGAATGGCAGTTGTAGCCCTTAATCCAGGTGTAATAAACACTGAGATGCTTGCATCATGCTTTGGTAATTCAGCTGCCCTATATCAAGCACCTGAAGCATGGTATAAATATTTCTTCAAGAATAATATGTTTATTTGGTTGGAGCATTTTTTCTATTTCCATGAATGGACAGTGCCCCATGTTTGCCTAACTGTTCCGTCTCCCTGGTTCCTATAAATATGCTGAAGATTACCTTTTTCTTTTTTGCCTCCTTTTGTTGCGTTAGAAAGAAAGTTTTGGAATGATCAGAGGATCTGAGCCATTATCTGATCCGGTTTTTTAATTTCTTATTGTTGAGAGCTGGAGGGCGGTCAGACCAAATGGAAGAACTCAATTTCAGAAGACTATTGTGATGTGGTGTTTGTTAGATATAACGAGACTATTTTCGGTTTACAGCTAAATCTTCTGTTGAACATCTCTTGACTAGGTATTAGACCCATGGTGATCAGAGTCAGAAGTTCAATCATTTGCTCTAAAATTAAAATGCGCTGAACTTGTGTTTCATCCGTGTATCAAGCCCAAAGGGCCTTCCATGTGCGAGGGAATGTGTTGAAAGTTTGAAATCGGAACAAATTAATCATAGGCTTGTAATACTAGTTAAATCAGGTTTAACCATAGACATCAGTTGATTTGTGTGTGATGCCCACAATTTGTTTCGCTTTCATTTTGAGCTTCCAACTATAAATATGATTTACTCCTGTATTTCAGGGCTCCTAAGGCAGCAACCATGATACTCAATCTCACTGCAGCAGACAATGGTGCGTCTCTCACTGTTTAGGACAAGTGCCAACAATCCCCTACGCGTAAGCTCCAGTTTCTTGGGAAGCTAGGCAGTGCAATGGGTCGATCTTGTTTACTATGCATTCAAAGGTTGGGAAATCGGTTTAGTCAGAAGATGAACGGAGGTTTTTCTTTTCGATTCATTACATTACATGGGATGGTGCAGATGAGCTAGGTCTGGATTCTTCATATGGCCGGTCAGCATGTGCGGAGCCCGACTGTAGTTTAACTTGAGAAGAGAAAATTATCTAAACCGATTGATTGTAGTGAAGTAGTAGGCATGAACCAACGCTGAGAATAACATTAAAGTGTATCATTTGGCAACCTATTGATTTTTATTTATATTTTTTGATTAAGCACTATTTTTCATTTTGAAATGTTTGCCAATTGTCCTTTTGTGTTTTCGCCAAAACAGATTTGAACTTCGCTTTTTTTTTTCTTTTTTTTTAAATAACGTATTTACATTTCACTTTTTCAGACTAGTAAGGTACACTTTTTCATCTTGATTTTTGTTTATGAATATATCATTGAGGGTTGTCGCCACATTTGCAATTCGTCGTTGTTAATTTCTGCGTTTTAAATCATGGATGGAATCTTCCAAAAAGATGAAATTCATGTCAATCTCGAGTTCCTTAACGTCAAAGTTAACGTCACCTCTGAGACAGACATTAGAGACTCTCACTACCTCATTGCATTCGTGAAATCACAGGCTATTTGCATAAGCATCAAAGCTGTGTCCCTCGGTGAAGCTATGAACCTCAACTATCCATTCTAATCATTCGAAAACTCCCTGAACAAAATGCTACCTAGAGATGACAGACTTTAAGCAAAAATGTCCACTTGATGCGTATTGATACAATTTATCCTCTGGTAATCACATTGATACAAAACAAATTACATATATTAGAGGAAAAAAATGTCGGGCAGACACAATACCATCTTATCCGACATTGTCCCCGAACATCCAATATGGGCGAAAGCGGAGAAACATGTATGGCGATAATATGGCTGTATTAGCAATCTTTATCTACACACCTAACCCATTTCTAATAACTTGAAGAGAGGATGTAGGACTGTCAATACAAGACTGGAAAAAACTCAAGCATCCACCCAACAAGAATACAAAATAAAAAATTGGAATGATCAGTAGCTTTATCTAATATCTAGAACCAGATGGAGGTGCTGGTGGCAGCCGAGTTGGTGTCCGGCGACTGCTAGAATTTGAAACTGAACTCGTGTCACCATTTTGAGATGGGTCACTGTATCGTCTACTGTGTCCACCAGATCCAAACCTAGATGATGAGTCAATGGAACCATTTGCGGCAGCATCAAATGCAGATCTCCAATCACCACCAGACGAGGAGCCATAACTTCCGCCACTTTCTGCATGAATTGACTCGTTATAGTTGTGTAGAGAAGTAAATCAAATAATGGGTAAAATCAAGATGATAGTACTAACACAAAAATGTATATTTTAGACGACAGTTACAGTATGCAGAAAGTACGCAATCAAAAGATTATATGTATTCAAGCAATTAGATATTCCTCTAGGATGACAACAAAATTTACAAGCAATCAAATTTTTTATTCCCATTATAAAGGAAAAGTACAAGTTTATCCAGTAATCCACCTAAGCCTTTCAAATGAACAGATTGTAACGTAGCATAAATTTGAACTTGTATTGATAAAAACCATTTCAGGCTTTCATGGTCCACTAGCATGAGTAAATCTTTATGAAAAGTGACCCCTTGTCATGTCATTATTTTATATTATTGGCACAATGGAAGCTCAGGTGCCACTAGCCAAAGTAAAGATGATGCAGCTGTTTTTTTTTTTTTGGGTGGGGGGGAGGGGGTTGGGATGGAAAATCATGCTGATCACCATAAATCCCTGACATAAATTGTTCCCAGAAAGGGCGTGCTTGCAGAAACATTACCTGTTGTGCTACCTTCTTCAGACCAACTGGATGCTGCAGTCGCTCTATTGTCATGGACACTAAGCTGCCTAGTCAGCTTTGAAAGAAGAGAGGACTGTTTCTGAATGCGCTCCCTTTTACGCTTCACGTTATGGTCCTCTTGGAGCAGCTCTTCAATTTTTGCCGAGCTTTGTGCACTGTCAATGACAAAAATGTAAACAAGTTCAATAAATTTTCCTTACGAAGTCCCCAAAAAAATATCCTGAAAAGATTTTAAATTTGAAGTGTTGTATAGCACAGATATCTCCAAATTACAAGAATTAATGATTGTCCAAAATGTCCTTGGTGATCTCTAAAATACATCCAAGAAAAGCAATAAAGAATACACAAAGTAGACAAGTTTTTAAAGCAGCCCAAGGGTTGCCAGAAGTATTGAATATATTTGATGCTCTAAGGACGAAATACTGGAAGGCTATCACATAAAATATTCCATGAAGAAACGATGCATTCATTGGGCAGTAGGCAGAGGAGACAGCTCTAACCTGACGGAACTGTACAACTGGTTAAGCATGTCTTCTTTGGCTTTCTCCACTTGGCAAAGAACAACAGCCTGCTCAGCCAAAACTAATTGATTCCAGGGAGACTGAACAGCAAGAGATCCAGAGAGAGAGAAATACAGTACTCGATAAAGTACACTGACCTTGGGGACATTAGCTGCAAGACTGTTAAGAACAGCTTCAACATAACCACGAACTTCTTGGGCCATCCATCTAAGCTCCTCTTCTGGATCCGCAGGCCTTCTAGTCATAGTATCCTATAAAAGAGTAACATGAGCAACTTTTCAGAAATAAAGCCAGCAAATTCTAGACAACAGCAGTTCATAGATGGGTCAGTGATCATAGATTTTTTAAGATCCGCAGCTACTAAAAATCTACATGCTACCTTCAAATATGAAGAATTTTTTGAAAAGTCCTGTTTCAATATACAAGGCATTTTAGGGAATTCCAAGTGTGACTAATGTCTTTTTACTTAAAACGCCTGTAGGAGCCTATTCAGATCACTTACCTCCTATTAGAAACAAATAATTAATGATTAGTGAAAAAAAGGTGAAGATGGAAAAATTTTAAATCTTAATTACCCAACCGTTTCTCTTGGTGATCATGCATCAGGTAAAAATGCCTCGTATTTGAAACAGAGTAAAAGCAACAAGTACCCCCAAAGTTCTGGAAATTTCTAATTGACTCAATAGACATGTTTGTCATTGCGAGCTTATATTATAAACTTCTTGAGTTCAACAAATGAATATGATGCTAACCGAAAAAGTGCAAAGTGCAAACCTATTGATATGAACAGAAAAAGATAGGAGGATTATGATTTAGGAACACTAGAAAAATAATTAAAAAAATAAAAAACTTCTCGTCGAGGGACATAAACCACAGGCATCGAAGTTAATGTGATTGGCATGTTAGCCACTCTTCGAATAATCAGTGTCTTCCAATTTTTTTTATATTGCCGCATGATCAAATGAAGCAAATAAAAAGAGGTGGGCAACATAATAACTTACAAGGGAACCATCAGAAAGACTGTGTCGCATAGGAAGACCTGATTCACCCGTTATTTGACCAGCTTTTGTAGGATGTGCAACATTTCCTAGCTTTTTTAGCCACTCAACCTTATCTGCTACACTCTCAGCCTTTAACAGAACTGTACTTTCAGCTGCAAAATGCGTATAGCAACATTGTAACACACCAAGCAGGGGCATATCAGATCCAGTGATGGCCCCGGGAGGACGCATCAGTTAAAAGGTGACATTGCAGCCACAGGAAAGATTACCTTTCATAACAGTCTTATAGGGGACCTTGCTGGTTATCTTCAATATAAGGTTGGATGCTCTTCCCGAATCAGGTCCATTGGCCTTTTTATCTTTTGAGCTCTTTGCTGAAGCTTCGTCATCATCAGAGATTTCCTCAATGTTGCATTCCTGATTGGGACAGCCAAAGCAACTCGGGATTATTAAGCTGAAACCTTAAATTATTCTTCCTTCCCATCTACTCAAGACTCAGAAATAAAGCAATTTTCCTTTCTTTCTACCTTTCTCACTTCATATTCATACAGAATATCAAAAGAAAGGAAAATTGTTATGCATTCTCTTTTGTCGAATAACAGGCACCAAAATGCACAGGAACAACTAACAAGTAACACAGAAGATATGAAGAACGAAAAATGTGATCAAACATTACAAAATCTAGGAACAATTAATGAAAGAGGAAACCCAAGACAGATTGCGAAATGAAATGATTTGGGAGCAATGAACAAGATTAATAATTATTCTACAAAGAATTTCATATAATGAACCAAGTTTATGTCATACCTCTAATGTAATGACTCCTCGGAAGTGTCTCTCTTCTTGTTTTTTGGTGTAACCAAGCTGCAATATAAACCAATATCAAATCATAATACCCAGAAAATGTTAATCATTAGCCCTCATAAAATCAATCCGTGTGACACTGATAGTTGCATAATCACATACATCAACCTCTAACAGGGACAACACAAGGTTCTTTCCCTTAGAAGTTAATCATTGGCATCATGGGAGGAATACGTGCAGAGCATTGATGCAGAACAATTAGGACAGATAACAAGATGAAGGGGAAAAACTCGCAATTCCTTCCATCAGAGATTTCCTTTTTTAAAGAAAATTATAAAGATTAATCTTAAAGAAAGGTTAAAGATCCAAAGCACACCTAAACAGTAAGACAGCCTAATGATCAAAAGACAAGGCAGCAAGACCAAGTTCTTGAAGGACACATATGGTAGGATTACTGTACTTCAACAAAGGTAATAATTACAGTCACAAATTGAAATCACAATTCACAAGGAGTTGTAATAATTCTTAAAGAGGTTCAGCCAGAACACATATACAGGACCTAACGACTTATGGACAACACCAGCCCAATGAGACTTTTTGATTTATCATAACATTTAAGATTATATGCCCATTTTTACTTCAGAAAAATGCTTCTATAATCATTGCAGCGACATTCTTTCATATGGTCATCAACACGTCGTTCAAGTCCATACCAATTCGAAATGCTGCAAAAGAGGACCTCATTGCAACTTGATAAAATTATTTTGAGGAAATCTCAACTACTCACTTCCTTTCATTCTTTACCCCCAGGACCTTACAGAACCTCATCACTTAATTTTCATACCAAAAAGGAAAAAGAAAGAAATAAGTTATATTCCAAAATCACTTCTGCACATCTTAAAGGTTTCCATGACTGTTGGTTGTTAGTGTCTTCTCCACTGAAACATAGGCTATTATCTTATTCTGTATTTTATCTATCTGATATTTATTCCCTAAGATATCAGATTAGATGTATCTTGTAGACATGATTATATTTCCTAAATTACAGGCTAGAAACTGGGATATATTATAGTGAATCTTAGCATCTCAGAAGCCCCATTTGCATCAGCTGAATCTCTCTGAATAATATCATTCAGTTTTCATCCTCTCTTCGTTCATTGGTCAAGTACTTCAAGAGGTCATGAAAATAACCATAACGTCAAAAACCATACCATTTGAATTGAGTACGATACTTAGTTCCAAATAAGCCTTTGACAACAGAATAATCATATACTAACCTTTCCAGTCTTCTCATTCAAAACGAACCATCGTCTACTCCAGCCGCTAGTTTTTCCACTTTTTTTAAATAAGTAACCTGTGTTGAAGAAAAAATCCATAAGAAAAGGTAGAAGCCGATTCCATGTACTATAGTTAAGTATAACTATAATTTAAGAATGCAGATTCCTTACCTTAAAATAGAAATAGATAGAAAGAAAAACAAAAGCCTAGGCTGGGAAGATATACAAGCTTTGTAGTTCCATATGCTAATGGAGTCTAAAATATTACATTTTATGGACAGTGCAAAATTCACATGCCCAATTATCTGTTAACTTGAAAATATAGAAAGGTTCATTCAATTCTTTACAAGTGGCAGGAAATAAGGACAAAATCATTCTAGTTTTTTCTAGCTTTTCAGTGATTTCAATGACGCTGGCTTCTCAACTGCTTTCACATAGCCACATAATACTATTTCTTTTGAATAGAGAACATAATATTACATGTGCCATATCAATTTAGTTTCAAGAGTTTTAATTAACCAACCATTGGGAAATGACCAACCACTGCTGGAAAGAGTTTAATAAGAGGAACCCCAAGCGCAAAGAGGCAACTGTTTTAACAAGGATAATATCGAAGCTCTTGAAGGCATCATCAACAGAAGAGATTGAAGCCACCAAATACATATTTAGCGCATTATGTCACAGAGAGACCTTGATCATACGGTCAAGCACACAATAAAATGTTATGATCAATTTGTAGAAACCTGCAGTTATCTCTCCATCAGGCCCAGCCGTCTTCAAACCAGATCCTTCTTGTGTATCCTTGTCCTGCTGACCAGATTTATCTTTCATTGATTTCAAGCTTCCTCCGCTTTGTTGACCAGTTTGAGGACTAGCAGCCTAGAAATGAAAACACATTTTATTTCATGCATCTAGAAGAAAAAAGCTGATTTAATACCTATTTCACATATAGCACATCCAAACTGAGTTTCTTAGGACGAAAAAGAAGACAATCCCACACCCGATTTAGACCAGACTGTTCAGCCTCAGGAGCCCTTTTAGAAGACCGGTTCTTCAGCTCATCCTCTTTGCGCTGCCTTTCCATTCTAAAGCAATTGATAAAAAGTGTTGCAACATTAAAATAAGATATGCACAACTAAAAAGTATAACGTTATCATAATATTAACAAAGATCCAGAATTTTCAAGAAATACACATCAAACACAAGAATTACTTGTGGCTTTCTAATTTGGGACTCTATCAGAAGGTCCACTGGACAGTTCAAACACGACAATTTTCAAACTTCACTGCATGCTGGGAAGAAAGATCGCCATTCAGTGTTTTTCTCAATTATAACCTTGAGAGTGACATGCTCAATTATTGGTCCGAGTTCTAGAAAATGTGTCTTCCATTTTCTTAGAAAAGCGTGCAGCTTTACAGTTTAAATGATTTGAGCTTAACTGAAGAGGCATAGCTGGTGCATAACAGGGATTATCACAATTTTAAGATACTACTTCAGAGCTTCATGTATGAACAACAACTAAGTGTTCCTAGTTCCCACTAACAAGCAAGATATTGAGCTAATAGATATCTAACATACCGTCTCTGCACTAAGCGAATGAAGTGTTGGGGTGGAACAAATGCACGCTCCATATCAACTAAAGCCACCACCATTTTTTTGGATTCATTTTTAAATCCATCTAGGGCAGAACTTGCAAGCGCCACAAGCTGGTTTTAAATTTTGAAACATAAGATAGACCATTCTCAAAATTTAGACCAAGTTACTTCCAGATTGCTGCAAAGCATTTTTACCTCTCTCTTAAATGGAGGATATCGTCCAAGACCAGGTGTAGCATTAGCAGCAGCAGAAACTATATCCAAAAGTACACGATGCACCTAATTTGGTAGTTACAAAAACATAAGTTCAAAATACAGCTCAAGAGAAAAATGGAACAGGAATTTTACATCATCAGTCTATCAGAATTCAGAACTACCCTAAAACTGCAGCACCCATATGACGATAACATTAAAAAAAACCCAAGTGCCCTAACTCTACCAGACTACAGATCAAAACAAATAAAATACCTCCAGAATCCAAAAATACATAACACATCAGTTCCAAATTAACAATTGTTTGAATTATCTAGCCAACGTGATCATTTAATACGCCAGACAATCAGCCTTACAGTCCAAAGGTTCCCACACTTCAGACATAACAGATGCAAAGAAAAAGAAATTAAAACAAGGCCTTCCCTTGATGCAAGCCATTTAATGAAAATTAATAGCAAAAGGAGACAGAACAAGACAAGACACAGGCCTATTTTTCATGCAAGTAAGAAAAATTCAGCCCTCTACCCAACTTCTCACTAAAAGTCCTTTTTATGCCTCTTTGGACATAGCATAATAGCCACTTTATAAATAAAATCGATGGCAAATTAGAAGCATACCTCATCAACACACAGACGTGATGGCTCCTTTGCCATTTCAAGAACACCTTTGATTAAGGACCTCAACCCTTTTTCTGGAGAAATAAGATAAGGTTGATATCCATCTGCTTCTAGGACAATCTAACACAAGTTTAAAGAGAACTATAAGAAGCAACCACACCTGAAGCGAATATGAGGAATTAAAGATTTAACTTGGACAATAAAAGTGAAATGTTCAAAAGACAATTTACCCTTTTAACATTGTTTATGTCAAAGTGTCTGTCTATAGGAAGTTGTTTAATCCTGTTGGGAAAATTGCCTTCAAAACTGGCAACAACTTTCCAACCATTACCCTGCAAAGGATTGGAGGACTGAAGTTACAAACAGATATCTACCAGTATAATGAGTTATTATTGATAAACTATGATTAAGGAGCTGATTGAGAGTTGAGTAATCTAAAGCTGTATAATTGAAATTGTATGCTCTTCCCCAGCATAAATACTAATGTAGGGGCAAAGCGTGCTTCAGTTTTCCTCTCGCTCCCTCTCCCTCTCCCTCTCCATCTCTCCCGCTCAGTCAGTCACTCTTTCTCAGCACGCACAAAGACTCCCTCTTTCCTGCCATGAATTTCTGCTCTCTACCAGTTATATGATATTGTTTGGCCTGGCTGTGGGGAAAAAAAATTTCTTTTTTTTTTTTTTAATTGAGGCTGATTTATTCCTCCAGCATTGGTGGCTTGTGAGGTTCACCTAACTGCAGCTTACCATAAAAGTATATTTATTTCAAGGTATAACAATAACCAACCTCGCCGCCAGCAAGATGTTGGAGGAACTTGTCTTCAAATTCACGGCATAACTGCAAGGCTAGAGCTCTTGTACCTTCAGGACTACTAACCATTTGTTCACCAAGCTTCATTAATTCCTCCTGAACAATTTGAGACTTTCCCTGAAGACTGCAGCATTTCATTTTAATTAAAGAAATTGAAAATCAAAGACACATTATAAATCTTAGCAATAAAAAATGCAAAAGGTCAAACTTCAGCTCTGAAATCATAGGATTTACAACATCCTAACCAGGTCACTCTCTCTTTCATAACAGACCTCACATGTGGGCATTATCCAAGACAAAGAACCTACCAAACAACATCTCATGATCATCTAAATCTTATGGACTAGCCAGTTTTATAAAAGGAGGCATCTAATAGTTAGCTATACTACATAAACATGACAAGATGTCCATATCAGGAGTAAAACTGTAAAACCCCCCTTCCAAATATCCGAATGCTTTGACAATATTTTAATTGTATAACAAATACCAAAATTACTCCCCCCGTTCCTGATTACAGGTCACATTTAACTAATTCAACAAACCAAGAAAATTAGTTAGAATTAGTTTATTTTCTTAAAATCACCCCATGTTTCCACAAATACCCTTAATTTAATGCAAATTCTTTTATCATCTCTCCCTCTCTCTCTCTCCACCATAACTACTCTACAATATTCTTTCCAAGGGCTATATCAGAAAACAATATTGATTACTTCACAAATTTTACAAAAATGACTTCGATGGGAACATAAAAAACTTCCAAATAGAAACGAAGGTAGTATTGTTTTCCAGAAACACAGAGCATAAAAAGTTAGCCTACCCTCTGATACCACAATTTTTAAACAAAGTGATGGACGAGACACCAATAGCATGGTATATCATGAATTAGGTAACAGTCGGGCAACCATAAAGCATATAATAAACAAAATGCCTAAGCTTCAGGACAGCATTAAATCCATAAGTTCTAATGCCAAAATAATCCCAGTAAGTCTCTAAACTTTTATGGTTTATCCCTTCCATTCAGTCAATTATGCAGACACCTTAAATCCAAAGTCAGCTTCTACAAAAATGAAGCCCTAATGGGAACATCAACAGCAGGTTGGACAAAAGGCAAATTTCAAAGCAAAATCGCTAACAAAATGTAGATAGGACATGTACAATAAACAACAAACCCAAAAAAGGATAACATATTGCAAACAAGTGAATAGATTCCAGTCACATAATAAATACCCAGAAAGGAGATTTGGAAGCCTGAGCTTCATACGATTGCGAATCTGGCTGGCAAGCGACTCAACCAAGGCAATTCTACCAAGCTTGCTTTGTGGGGCTCCAGTCAATATTGATTTCAAGCTTTCAGTCTCTGCTCGCCAAGCGGTTTCTAAAGAGCTTTCAGACCCAGCACCAGACTGTGCAGATGCTATTGAGACTGATTGACCAATTATTGCAATCCATGGGATATCAGAAGTTTTTGGGGGTCCCTGGTTCGAAAGAAGAGCTTGTACAGCTGCAAGCGCTTTTGGTTCTGAAGCTGCTTGATCAATTTTACTAATAACTCCAACTGTCCTGGTGGCTACAATTGAAATAATGAAGACGATTTAACAGAAGCAATAATCTAAAGAGGATAGAAAAACAGTAGACCACAAAAAAGAAGAGAATTTCCAAATTTAAGAAGTTTGATAATCATTGTTGAAGTTATGATTAAAGCATTTCAAGGACTAATCTCAACACGTGCAGGGAGAGTTGGTTGTTGATGTGTTACCAGAACATCTTTTACCGAGTGGCAAAGATTTCCATCTTTTAGCCTCCATTTACTTAATAAAATTAAATTTCACCATAAAGCATACTGGCTGTGTTATTACTATGTTTCAAGCCCAAAGGGCTCTAACATGAGAGGGTGTGTTAGAGATATCCCATTTCCAGGCTTTCTCCTGACAGCTTAATCTTTTTGAGAAATTCAGTATTGGGAGCAATGGTTTAACAGGAAACAAAAAATAAAAATATGAAAACATACATTCAGCATCATACTCCTTTGCTACTCGTAGTGCTCGTGAAGATGAAATTTCTGGCACCTGGGCGGCAGGAACTATCACAAGCAGAATGGCATCGTTGTGTTCGATATATTCACTGATCTAAAAGATAAGAAAAAGAAGGCATTTAGCTTATCTCTCAAAGCAAAGTTCCCTAAAAACAACCAGTTAACCAAGAATTAAATAAAATTTTACATAATATCCAACATTGACTGAGAATAATATTCGGTGTAAAATCAAAACTAAGAACTGATAACTTAGACCCACTCACCATTTTGTCATCCACAATTCGTTGGTCCAGTCCAGGCAAGTCAATCAACTTCAACGGAGGAGCTGGACAATTACCAAACAGGACAAATAGAATAAGCCTCATGTTATAGCGTATAGGCAAGCAGATAGTCATCATATGTCACCCGGATGTTTATGTGTCTTCAAGTGAGGGAAAGAAATAATCAACAAGAAAAGGGAAGGTATATTTATGACCCAAATCAATAAATTGGTTACAGTATTCTGAATTTCTTATGGAATCACAGGGATTGCAATATCCAAGTCTGAATGATAATTCTGAAACAGCAAGTCAACAGAGATTTTCCAGAAAAGTACAAATATAAACAACCTAAAAAGCGGATTAAAATTAAACACAACCCAATTCACATATCAGAATTGGAGATTCCCTCGGAAAAAACTGAGCTAAGCACCAAAGTTTAACCATAAAGACAATCTACCCCTGTTCAATAATTAAAGGAGGCACCCAAAAAGGTGCCTTTTCAGCATTTCATGCCTTGTTGTGTTAAGAAATTTTTTTTGATTTTTTCCTGAGAGGAGTCCAGAAAACAGGAGTAAGAGATCTGCTAATACAAGCAGCAGACACAGTTAGGTGGGAAATATTCAAAACAACTAAAATAATTTATTCTTTTAGCGACAATGAATTACTGCGCCTCTAGTTTTTCCCTAGTTGATGGAAGGACGTCAGTCAATATACAATACACGATAACATGCACTTCTCTTGCTAGGGTTATCAACATTTTAAACATAAGAATCGAACAAAGAAAGTCAAAAGAATTTGAATGGTTCCTCATAACTCACGAGGTTAACAAGCTTGACCAATGACCAGCCATGTCCGATTTGACCCTTAAATCAAACATGAGCAGAGAAAGAAAGAGACATCTAAAACACCACCACTTCCCATAACAAATCCAGGGCGCAGTGATGCCCTTTCAAACATAAGCAATCCTCTCAAAGAAGCTTACTAAAAATCACACGACTGTTCATTGCAATAACACTTCAGCTTCCTTGTTTCCCAAACAATGTGTATGAATACAAACCCAATGTTTTGCCGACCACTCCCATAAATGACTCCACGGGAAGATCTTTTTCATGCTTAAAAAAAGGAAGATCATATGAACACCAGCCTACCAGTACTAGTACGAAGTTTAAGATATATTTCATCACGACTTCTGCCAGATGAACCTTTGCTCAGCCTGTCCTGTAGAGAGTGTCGAAGAGCACCTATGACACAATTAAGAAACATCACTCAAGCACTGTAAGTTGAACTTCTTACAGATAAACTTTTCATCCCGGAGCAGAGAAACAATAAACCAGATTGTTCAGGAACAGAGTCTGAGCTAAAGTTCTTACTTGCAGAAACCTGTTGAGATTTATTTTCAATTTGTAATATGATTGACTTGCTGCTTAAAGAGCTATCTCTATTTAATTCAATGCTTATGGGAGCCCTGGTAGCACCATTTTCACCAGTTGGCTGCCAATAATTTGATTATATCATGACACAGTTAGTAATAAATCAAATAGCATAAGAGATGCATCAATTTGTGCAGAAAAGAAAATCAGCAAGATGCATATAGGCAATTTGGCTTACCAAAACTGGATGTCCAATCAAACTATTCAAGACAGCAGATTTTCCAGCACCCTATACAGACAATTGGTCCACAGAAACAGAGAGATCAAAAACACTAGCCACATGGGATACAAGGCTCAGATACCACAGGAGTGTAAGAACTCGTAGAACTAAAATTATATACATGCAATCATCCAAATCTGAAGACAGGGCAGCATAATAAAAGCATTGCATTCACTTAATTGCTTCAAAGCCCAAAACTACCTACAAAAAGTAAACAAGAATTACAATAAAAGTTCATGGCTAGCAAGCTTTCTAGGCCATTTTTACCAATTCCTATCAGATCCAAAGTGATTAACGTCATGCCATGCACCGTGAACCGACTCCATCGAGTTTGCCACGCGCAATGATTTGTCAAACCCCGTGAGACCTCTTCTAAACCACGACCGATGTAATTATTTTCATCAAACATCCTAACAGTAGCTAGCAAATGATCCGACATATACAGCCGCAGACGCTGACTAATCTTCTCATTGGGCTGGGAGGAAGAGAGTTTTCAATTTCCCAATTCCAAATACTAATTCATTCTCTCACCAACCGTACTTCCTCGTGTAAGCACGTCAAATTTCCATTCCCCGCGAAATTTCTCCTCCAGCAAGCAACTCCCCATCCTAAAACAAAAAACTAGCGACCAACTACCGGATCCATAAATTTACAACCCACGCATTGACACACAGAAAAGTATGCATGGACAGGTGGATGGAGAAACTTACGACATTGCCTAGTGCGACGACATTGAGGAATGTGGAACGCCGCCTACTAGGCGTCGTCCCATCAACATCTTCATCGGCAAGCACGGCAGCGGCTTGCCGCATAGAATCTGATAGCTGAGCCAGTTCTTCAATTGCCTCCATATGTTCACACAGATTAGTCCGATGAAGAGAGCAGAAGCGAAATCGCCAAAATCTGTGCCAGAGCTAGGATTTAAAATTTTCTCCGAGGGAGAGAAACCAGGACAGTCTTCAAGAGTGGCAGAAGGAGAAGGCGAATGGATCTGGCAGCCGAGGGAGTTAGGTTTCCGGCGTAGAGAGATCGCCGGCGAATCTAAGAAATATGAAGGAAAGCGGTGTGTGTGTGTGTGGTGTGGTGGAACTGTTAACCGAAGTGAAATTAAATTAGATCTGCATCTCCTTCTCTTCTCGTTTATTTATTTTTAAAATTTGTCCTTTCTTTTTGGTGGAGGATGTCTGTATTTCGCGCTTTTCACCTTTCCGAGCAATAACACAGTGGTTTTTATTTACCATTTTATAAGTGGGCTAAAAGAAAATAGTGACCCAACCCAAACTCCAACGTTCAGCCGTTCCAATTCGTGAGAGATTGTTTTTATATAATATGATAAATTAATATTTGAATTTTTATCTAATATTACCTTTAATCTTTGATATAAGACCTTATTTAATTTTTATTTTAGTCCTAAATATAAGACCCTAATTCACTTTGTCTCTCATATTTATACATTTTTCTTAAAGTAGTCCTTCTAATAATAGTAGTTTTAGCCAATACACTTGATTAATAAGAATATTATAGGAAAGACAACATATATTTATTACAAATAACTAACTTAACTTTCTTTTTAATCTCCTCAAATTAATCAACTAGTTCTTATAATTAGGACCAGGTAGTATTGTTCTAGATAAGAATATTAAATAAAACTTCGGAGGAGACATTTGGCATTTAATTTTTTTACGTGAGACTTATAAATAATTTTTTTCCTATTTTATTAAGATTCCTGAAATTGGATTACAAATTCTGGACTCTGCAGCGAAATTTTTAAGAGTTGGTCGTTCTTTCAAAATATTTTGCTCTTTTACTCCTTCATTTTTCTCATTAAATAAGCCAAGTTACACAGTTAGGCCTATATTCTTCACTTTAAACAAAAACTATAATGGTTGGACTTTGACTATGCAAGAATGAAATAAAAATGATGAAGATAGTACCATATTGCTCTGAAAACGCTCCTGATCAATTTGACAAATTATTTGTGGTTAATAAATTTAAAATATAAGTCCAATTTGCCTAACTGCATAGAAACTAAGGAAGGCAACTAATAGAAATTAATAACTTTATTAAGAAGTCACTTAACACTCCCCAAAATTACCATTACCATTATCATTATCATTATTATATTTAAATGTTGAGATTCAATGGCATTGAGGAAAATATTCGATTAATTTTTTGCAGGGCATAAGTACTTTTTTATTAAAGGCAATCCTGTTTAAAGTACTTTTGCTTGTTTCTTTTTTTTTTTTACATTATTTATCATAACATTTTGAATTTACAAATTAAAAAGAGGGTGGCAAAAGTGAAGAGAGACATTGAGAGAATAATAAGGTTGTCAATGAGATTCACGTGATGTGAGAAACAGAGTCCATCATTGTGAATTTATTTTTCTCCTCACTCTGCTCATCTTCAGTTCACGGGATTTTTCTCTATATCTCATATATAATCTCTTGTTTATTAAAAGCTAGTAAACTGCCAATAACTGGAGATGGAGATTCAAAAAAAAAAAATGCGAAGCCAGCAATGAAATAGTACAAGGCATGATTGGCCAGAATGAGGACTGGATTTTCTTCATGTAATGGCACTGGCGAGAGGCCAGAGAGAAGATATATATGGCTCTACATGTCCAAATTTCCAGCAAACGGTCTCGATTAAGGAGCTTGTCTTTTCTTTCATAATGCCAAACTCACAAGAGAGTGATGGAACATCCGTTTAAAATCAGATCCAAAGCTGCTTGTTTAATTTCGGGTCTGCATTTAGGATGATCATCATGTAAGTCTCAAGAGGTTCCTTCTCATGTCTGAAGCCATAATTGATGTTAGCTTTTAAGTTACTCCTCCTGTCCTTGAAAAAACATAATTATTGAGTTGATTTTGTCCTAAATATAAGACTTATTTATCATATTTATCAAATTTTTTTAAATTACCTTTATGGATATTCCTTTAACTATAATTAAGTGAAAAAGGGAGAGAGGATATTAAGAAAGATGATTATAGTGTTTTAGAAAAAACTTGTCATATTTGTTATAATTAACTAACTTACCTAACTTTCTTAATTTAATCAAATTAGTTAAATAGATTTTATATTAAGGATAGAAGAAGTACTATGGTTTGGTCTTACATATTACATATAAGAGTTCATTGTAATATAAAATTCTAATACATTTTGTCTCACATATTTATAATTTTTTTTTAACGAATCCTATTAATTGTATATATCAAAGAGGTTTTCATCAATAATAAGGGATGTTTCCAATGTATAAAAAGTAAAAGAGATATTTTAGAAAAATGATTGTACATTTATTACAAATAACGAATGTAATTAATCTCTTTAATCATTGTAAATTTGCTACTCTCTCTTGTCATAATATAAGAAGTTAGTTGGAAAAAAATTTTGGTCCAAAATATAAGAGGTTGATAAGATAACTAATGATACTTTTTCACTTTTAACCCTTGTTACAAGGTAGGGAGCAGTTACAAAAGAAGAAGATTGAACTGGCCGGTTCAACCGAAAACTGGTGAATCGGCTAGTAGTTTGGTTTGATTTAAGTAATAAACTGGTCAGAAACTGAATCAGTACCCAATCAAATCAATGTAAATCAGTGCAAACCAGCAAAAACTGACGTAAACCGATAATGAACTGTTTAAATGATTATTTTGTTATTGGTCCTATTTTCTCTCATTCAATCCTAATATTTTAGTCACTATATATTTGAATGAATTTCAATGATAATTTTGATATTAATGGTTATTAATTTTAGTTATTGAGAAATCATAAAAATCAAAATTCTCAATGTTATTATATTTTGTTATTGTTTCAATCAAATTATTATTATATTTTGTTATTAGTAATTATTAATGTTGTTATATTTTGCTATTTTTAATTAAATTTTATTATTTTAATGTGACTAGTTTGATCTTGGGTCAGTTTCAATTTGACCCATTGACCCTTGAACCACATCCCCAATCGGTTTAGTGTTCAGTTTGATCTTTTGTTCTTTGGTGGGGAGAGAGTTTTAAATGTAGGAGAGATGAAAGGAAATTTTCCAATCACATTCTTTAACAAAGGTAAAATAGATAACTTTTATCAATTTAAAACATTTAATAACTTAATTAACATTTCTCAATTTGTGAGAAAATTTAACTAACTTATTATATTAGGGATTGGAATGAGTTTCCGGGTTTTATATTTACTACCGAATGAAGTGATTTAACTCTACTTTGGAAAAGATTCCATCCACTGATCATTGATGTCATGGTAATAATATCAAACAAAATAGTAAGAGAATTGCACAAACGAAATGAGTGTCCATGAGATTTGCTATATTTTTACATTTTCCTTCTTTTTTATATCCCTCTTATTTCAAAAGAATACTTGAGTAAATCTAAATTCTGTAGACTGTATGCTTTCTCATATCACCTCAATACCCATCCCCAAGTAAAATCGAGATTAGTTTTCTTGTGACAGAGACCCATGGCACTTCATAATACGTTGGAATCCCTGTGAGGGTCTAAGTGAGGGTAGAGTCCCAAAACATGCTCCGGCATAAAGTCATGCCTTGTCAATATCCCAACAACTGGAGGCCTCTGCACAGTGTGTTAAGATAAATGTTAATTCACAATTCAATCAAATATGCCCAACCAACCAAAGACATTTGTCAGAGACTAGTGCACAAAGACCCAATGCATTATTATTTCCTTCAAGCTAGTTTGATTATTTCATCCATAATTCAAATGACAGGACACTTTTCATCATTGGCCAAAAAAAAAAGCAGTGGCTTCGGCGTTTTAAACAGATTCCCTTCAAGTTTAACCGGTAGCACTCATGATCATGCATGTTCATAAATCAGGACAAACTTGACCAGTTGGTTCAAAAATCAATAGCTTTCAATTGTTGGATTTCATAACTTCAGGCAAAATATGGTGGTTCCAAATGCTACATGCCACATGTAAGGGCTTGTTTGAATCCACATTTTGCAAAATTGGTTATTATTCGAACTGATTATTGCAAACTGAAATTGAGAAATCAACTAATAATGTGATTTATATTTGAGTAGACTTTTATTAAAAAAACTAATCAGACAAAACTGTCTGGATGATATATACTGAAAAGTTAGTTCCAAAAAGTTCAAATTTAAAGAAAAACCAAAATGCAAAAACTAGAAAATGTTGCTTCAATTTTAAAGCCACTTTTGGCCCAAAAGTCACTTTCCTCAAAAGCTATCCCAAATATACATTTTCTATCTAATTGCTTCTTCTTTTTTTCCCGGTCCCAGCTGACTTTTGAGCCTTACTAACTCTATTCCAAACATTCACCATCATGCTTAGTTTGACAGATGGAGATAGAAAGGGAAATAAATTATAAGGACTGACTTACTCCTGTTGTCTTTGGAACCACCAATAAATGCCTGAGGCCAAGCTCCCTGAAAAGAAGAGCAGCTTTTGCAAGAGACATGGTTTCCACCACTGTGTACGGTGACGTGTTAGTGACTGGATGGAGATCAACGTACATTTCCATCTCCTCCTCCCCGATATGAACATCATCTAGCTTGAGTCCCTTGCCTAAACCTGGCTTTGCAAAATCATGTGCTTCAAAGTTCCTCATAATGGTAGATCCAGTCATAACCTTTTGCTTTGTGAACTTCCTTTGTTTAAGAAGCACAAGAAGATGAGACCTAAACACCAGCCCACATAACTGAGGAGCTTCTGAGAATGGAGGCTCATTAATTACTGGAAAACCATGATGTTGTGTTATCCTCAAAGCACGAACAATATTCCTCACTTTTTCAACCCCAGAAAATGTAAATAATGGGCCTGAAACAACATCTCCTGCTGTTAAATGCCTCATGTACGGTTCTGTAACTGCTTCAAGATATGGCAGGCCCTTCATCTTCACAATCTGATCATAAATACCTTGGTTAAAATTATCAGCCACAGTCTTTGATATAAGTTGAACTAGCATCACCAATGGGAGTATCAAGAGGTTATTGGTGAGCTCAAGAAGTATGACACAAATAGAAACTGTCATTCTCATGGTTCCACCAAGGAAAGAGGCAGCTCCAAGGAGTGCAAACATACCCACATCAAGAACAGTGAATGAACTTAAGAGGCGAGAAGCAAGACGCCCATAAGAGGCTCCAGCAAGGATGACAGGAATGAAAAGGCCAGAGGGGATGGCAATGCCATAAGTGATAATTCCAAGGAAGTATATCACCACAAAGAAAGTCGCGAGAGTAGAGATCTGAAATTCCTTGTCAGAACTTGGTGTTAATAGGTTGCGTATAGTATCATCATTGGGGGAGAAAAAAAGAGAGGCTAGATCATTGTAATGATTTGGTGGACATTGGAAACTCTTGTAATTTCCAGAGCGACCTCTGGTTGGGCACTTATCCCCCAAGTTAGGAGGACAAGGGACACATCGAGATAGCCATGGAAAGCCATATGAAGCACAAGATGTCAAGAGGTTGATAACAATAACAAGTAGAATTTTAACTCTGGGGCCTCTCCTGCAAATTCAACAGGTTATAATCAAAAGAGACGAATAAATATTATTGTGTCATAAAGCTCTACTTAACTAATTTCAGTAGATTAAGAAAGATAGTTAAATTAGTTATTTGTCAAAAGTATGTGTTGGTTGCCCTTTAAAATCATTTGGATTGAAACTACTATTTGATACAAACTCCCTTGACATATGCAATTAACAAGATTAGTTTGGATAAATAAGAGGGATAAAATGAATTTGAATTTTATATTTAAGACCAAATTCATCTCCTTACTAGTTTTTGTATTAGGAAGCGGAGGTAATAATACATATGGGCAAGAAGAATTTTGGCCATACTCATTGATGACACTGTAAGTCCGAAGGACTTTGTGGACTAGATAATTGTAAAGGCTTCCCAAAAGTCCTCCGATAACTCCAACCAATATGACTGCCAGGACGTCAGGAATTTCGTAGGAGGGCTTTTCTGAACTAACATCAAACATGATCAAGCCTCCTTCTCCGAAGAGACCACATTTTCCACCCCGGCATAACTGTATGAAGCCTCTCAATACCACAGCCACTACAGCTGTTGTAAAGAAAGTCCGCCACAGAAGAGCACTTCTCCACCTGAAAGTAACTAAAGAAGTGTATTAGAAAATATATATGTATACTACCACCGATTGTGAAGTGGGTTCAGGGAAAAAGACAAATTTTTCTCTATCATTCTAAATAAATTATCAATGAAAAATGTTGATTAATTCAATAGTAGCTAATCAGGTGTTAAGATATATATATATAGAGAGAGAGAGAGAGGGAGAGAGAGAGAGGACCATGAAGTTGCTTCTTCAAGTGCAAAAAGGACACCACCAACTGGGGCACGGAAGGCACCAGCAACCCCAGCTGCTGCACCGCATGTGATCAAATCTCTCCTGTCTCGGTCATTTTTAATGTATCTAAGAAGTTTCCAGTTAAGGCCATATTTTTTGGAACCACCTTGTCCAAGTATATTGGCAATGCAAGAGCCAGTATGTACCATAGGTCCTTCCATGCCCACGACAAATCCCGCAGCCACCCCAAAAATTGAACCAAAAATCTGCTAAGTCCAAACCATGCGTATTTTTCAAAACATGATCATCGAAGTTATTCAGGAAAAGAAAAGTTTCTCTGAAGAAAGATTCTACATGTATTTCCTTTTATATGCCAGCTAGTATCTTCATTAAAATTTACATGAAGTGTGCGTGTTCCAAAATAAACTGAATTGCAAAATGTGATTGTGATTGAGGTTGTGGGGCTGGAACATGACATTTGGGTTAAGCGTATTCAAATAGACAAAGTTTCATAATGATTAAGAGTTATATAACATTCGGTTTGAGGATGACTGTTCTATCCAATAGTTGAACCGCATAATTGATATGATTTGTGTAACCAACAGGGTCCGATGAGTTGTAATGGTTTGGTTACCTAGCATGCCTATATATATATGTGTGTATAAATCCAATGTATTTGGTTACCTTGTAAGTCAAGTAAAGCCACATAAATAACACGAAGTGTACTCAGCAAGCAAGGGAGTTTTGGGTTGGTGGGGTTCTTCCTCAACTTCCAACAAAATGGTAATAAAAAGCTTTATTTCTTTCTTTGTGTGTTTTTTTTTAAAATAATTTGGACAAGCCATCACACCCACATGCACACTCTTATTTTGGCCACTTGTGTATATAACTTACAACCTCCTTTGTGAGAGGAGGTGTGTGTTGTCATTTGAACTATTGGTTTAAAAAAAAAAAAAACCTTTATTTCTAAGTTAAATAGTAAAGGAGGAGAAAACAATAAAGATGAGACAAGATGATGGTGGGGAAAACATGGAAAATTAATAAACAACTAAGGATTAAAGGAAATACACGCACATTGAACTCATGAAGAAAATGTGTTGATCAGAGAAATGATAAAATATCCAGGTTACCTCTGTGTCATTCCCATTATCCAATTATCAAGCGGTTTAGTATTCTTGTTGTAAATATCCTCAGTACTCATGAAAAAGAAAGGAGTAAATGCAATTTCATATTGATTGGGTAACTAACCAACCTTTACAAAGAGGGTACTGGGAGCCAGTATAGAATAAGCATCTACCCCATTGAGGTATGCCTTCACCTCAGGTATGCCTGACCCTGCTGCTGAAGGAGCAATATAAGCACAGAGGGCTGCTGCAGCAATTGCCAAAATCAAATTACAACCACCATACACTGCAAAGGCCTGAAGAAACCTGTACTGGAGTTAAGTGATAGGATCATATTTATGCCAAAAAATACAACTTCATTGCATATGTAAACAAGTTGAAAAAACGAACTCTTCGTTTCTTCATCCTCATTAAGTCTTTCCTTTAAACCCTTGAAATCTAGTGGCTAGCTAGGTTCAGCATTCCCTCAAAGACCATAACTCATAACCACTGATGCTTTTAAAATTTATGCTTATTAATGAAATTGAAAATATGACCACTCAGGCTATGCAGAGAGCAGTACGCGATGTATAATGGATATTAACACAAATGCACAGAAATAAATGTACAAGGTATGTCTTCTCCCAAACAAGCAGATGGTCAGATTGAAACGTAATAGAATCAGGTAGCAACACTTGAAGAATAAAAATAAAAGCTAAAAGGTCAGATTGCATATATAAAATTGATAAGAATAGTCGTACTTGTTTTCGAGCATGAGATTCTCGGTAAGTAGAAGCTTGGTACCAGAAATATTCTCAACTGCAATGTTGTTAAAAAAGGCAACAAGCCCCGTGCCTAAACCAACCAGAAGTGCAAGCGTCCATTTTAAGGCAAGATAACGGCACTTCTCAACCTTTGTTCTAGACCTCAAATCTTGCATATAAAGATCACTCTCAATAATCCTGCATACAAAAATGCGAATAGAGTGATTTTCCTTCATCAAAGGTTGCATTGGCATTCCATGTAACACGATCCCTTGCTCATCTTATTTCATAACATTGGCAACTAATCAAGGACTGTCTCTTGCTTTTCTTTTTTTACTTAATTTCTTAAGTACTCTTCGCAAACCGCCGCGATATCCATAAAAAGCATTGCCCTTTATGAATAATAATAATAATAATAATTTATAATAAGATACAACGTTGTTGAACTTACTTAGGAATTAAAAATAAGAACCAAACCAAACAAACACGTCATAATCAACTTTCCCCGGCCCCATTAGTTCATGTTGATTTTATCGTTAATCAAGTGAAAGCCCACTCTACCAGAGACCAGAGTCCCTGTCGTAGCTTTAATCATGTGCAATAAATAATCAAGAAAATGATCCGGGGGGGGGGGTGTTTGGCAATGATTATTTTGGCTATTTTCCCCGTCTGCTTTTGAGTAAAAGCAACAGTTTTTCTGCTGTGAGGAGGCAGAAAGTTGATGGATGGTCTCTTTCGAAACAGAAGATAATTTTTTTTAAAGACGAACATATCCCTCTTCAAAACCATTAATTACCATTAACTCTCTCTTTTCTAAACTTTTTGGGCGGGAAAAAAAAAAAACTATAGCCTGCTCATTTTTCTCTCACATTTCAATAATACTCTATTTAAGCATCCAATGTAGCTCCCTAAAAGATCATAGTCGAATAATGATTCAATCAAACCGAATTAATAAATGCTAATGACGATAGCGCAGTTATCAGATATCGACCAACTTTTTCTTACCTTTCTATGATTCTATGATCAATTTTCCCAGGGAAACCAAATTGATCAAAGCAAACATATGCAGAGAAATAAGAAGGAAAGAAAGAAAGAAAGGAAGAAGTTACTCGTAGTCGAGACTTTCAATCGAACAGACATTGGCTCCAACAATGGCGATCTGGGAAGTGTTGTTCGCTCTGTATTTACTCACAAGAAGCGGTTCCCTGAGCGTCCCGTTCTCATCTTCATAAACCGATTCCCTCGTCTCCATATTTTCCTCTATCCGAATCCTGGACTCACTATCATCCATCGTCGTCCCTGTCTCCGAGTTTGATTATTCCAAATGTAAATTTCACTCTCAAGTGTCTTTAATTCATCTCTCTTTCTGGCCCTACCTCGCAATCATTGAAGATTGTTCTTCTTCGACGTTGCCGATCCTATCTCAGACTCTCCAGTCTCGTGATGCGATGTTCAATTCAGAAAAGGAAATACGATATGCGAAAATAGGTTCTCTCATCTGAGCTTAAATTACGTGGACGCTATTTCTAAGTTATCGTGAAGACTGTTATCGCCATGCAGAGTCACATCCCACGTGGTTTTTATATTACCTTCAGGCCATATACTAACATTTTTGTTATGAAAAACTGTGTGGGATTTCAATGATAAATATTTCAAAATTTATTTGATAAAAGGCCTGCGTGTAATAGTTTATAAATAGTTTTTTAACTATAATTTATAAAATAAAAATAAATATATGAGAGAAATTTTGTGTGATTTTAAACATGATGACAAATAAGATCAAAATAAGTCTCAAATAAGCCCTTCATAAGCAGCTAAGGGATTAAAAAAAAAAACAGACTATTGTCCTTTTCTCAAGACCAAGTAAATGAAAATTAGAAAAATATTATATTAGAGACCAAAATCCGATAATAGGTACTCCAAAAATTAAAAAACCTTAAAAATTCTAATAACTTTAAAAAAAGAAAATATAGAATAATTAGTTTAAAAAAATTAAATTATCTTATTACTTTCATATAACAGTTTGATAACTAATTTATAGATATAAAAAATTAGCTATTTATAATAAAATATTTAATGATTTTTTAAAAATATTATTTTTAATTATTTATTTTGGAAACTACTTATTTAATCAAAAAAATCCTCACAATCAATTAGATTTTTAAAAAATTACATAAATTTAAAATATAAAATGGATTGAGATATTATAATATTATCAATATGAATCCTCATCCTTAAATAAGCTCTTCATAAGCGGCTGATCGATTAAAAAAAAAAACAGACTATTGTCCTTTTCTCAAGACCAAATAAATGAAAATTAGAAAAATATTATATTAGAGACCAAAATCCGATAATATGTACTCCAAAAATTAAAAAACCTTTAAAATTATAATAACTTAAAAAAAAGTAAATATAGAACATTTAAATTAGAAAATATTAAATTATCTGATTACTCACATATAAGAGTTTATAACTAATTTATAGATATAAAAAAATTAGTTATTTATAATAAAAAGAAACTACCTATTTAATAAAAAAATCCTCACAATCAATTTGATAAATTTAAAATATAAAATGGATTGAGATACTATAATACTATCAATATCAATCCTAATCCTTCTATTATTTTTTTATATTTGGGATTGGATATAACAGTAGATAGTTATTTAGAGTAAATATTAGCTCTCACGCGTCGTTCTGTGTAAAGTTGCGTACGTAGGACCGTTTCCAACTTCCTATCGTTTCAGCTCAACTGTAATGTCCTCCACTACGATCCAACTTCTAATTATCCATCACTCACATTCTAATTCTTTTAGCACTCTTCCTTTCCTTTTCAATCAGAATCTTCAACTACCCCACTTTGCAGTTCGCATTTCTCTGTATTTGTCTTCTACTATATATGTGATTCCAATTTGATTTTGATTTGATTCTATTCTAGAAAACTCGCTAGTTCCTTTTCACAAAATACTCACTCAACACTCCTTCTGATCCTTTTCTCTTCATCAAACCCTTTTTTGTAGATCTTAATTTGTTGTGCAGACTGGGTTTTCTGGGGTTGTCGCAGTTATTAAATTCTTTTCTCAAGCCTGATATCCTTGAAGGGTTTCGATTTCGAGATGGCCGGCCATCAATGCTCGTGGATTTCGTTAAGAACTCCAAGCTGGAGGTAGTGATTACCGCCCCTAGAATTTTAATGAAATCCACAAAGTTTCTCATGTTGATATAGTCGGATAAGGTCAGAAGAGAAACAGAGGATCGGATCAAAAAGGATGAGGAAGATTAGAGACAAAGATGATCCAGAGAAGTACGTAGGTTTGCTTAGATTAGCTCAAGCGCTTTCGTTTTTGGTAGTTTTTGTTGCGGGTGTGGTTATTGGTTTAACTATGAGTTCTCATATCAACAACCAATTTAGTACTCAATCAGAACTGTATACTCTAATGAACCATGTATCAATTGGTGCGGCTGGGGTCATGGAGGAAGAAAATTGCAGCATCTGCGACGAGACTGATTGTTTGAACATGGAGACCTTTTTGCATCCGACCAACGTGACACATGATTTGCTGGATGATGAGCTTTTCTGGAGAGCTTCCTTGGTGCCCATGAAAGAAGAGTATCCTTATACCAGAATTCCTAAATTGGCTTTCATGTTTTTGACAAGGGGACCGTTGCCATTGTTGCCACTCTGGGAGAGGTTCTTCCAGGGACATGAGGAATTGTTCAACATATATGTCCATGCACCTCCTGGATATACACTCAATGTGTCCAATTCTTCTGTTTTCTATGGACGCCAAATCCCTAGTCAGGTTTGAAATTAAAAATCTCCGTTCCAGCTTTCTTTGAAGACAGAACTTTAAGTGCATGTTTTTGGATTTTTGTTATTAGATTGAAAAGTTGATTTTTTTCACAACACATTGTCATATAATTGAGTTTTTTTTTGTTTTTATTTTTCGGGGTCCATGATTGGCACAGCTGGAGTAGTGGATGCATGGAGAATTTAAGATAAAGAGAGAAGAGGTTATGAGTGTGAAAAAGAAATGTGAGCTGCATAAAGAATCACATTCTTTTGTGTGTCTTTCTCTCTCACACAAGAGATTATAGGCTGTTCAGAGAAATGACAAATAGAATTCTCGATCTGTCTGTATGTGTATATGCACAAGGCCCGCAAAAAGAGTTATGTTCTGCAACTTGTCATATGATTATTATGAAATCCTTTTACAGTATGAAAAAGCTTCAGATATTTACTGTCTTCCATCCAGTGATTTAACAAATATCAAATGGTAGCAACATATTTCTCAGATAAATCAGTGGTAGATTGAGGAATTCGATCGGTCCTTCATGCATGGAAATAAGGTAGCATCGCTTGACCTGATAAAATTATATGTCGCATAGCATTGGTACTACAAAACATTTTTTAACGTGACTATGCTAAAATCAATTTGGCAAACTGATCAGCCTAGAACTCAGACTGCATTTGAACAGGCTTTCTGTCATTGATCAATTTCAGGCAATAGCTGAACTAATTAGTTTTATGCTTTTGTACTGAATTCGACATCTGGGCCCTATGCAAATATTAAGTTTGCTCGGGCGATTAGGCATCGTTTAATATGAAAAAATATATTCCATATTTTAAGGGAAAATTATATTGCCTGGAACTTGCTTGTTTGGAATTCAGTTGTTTACGCTTTTTACCTTCTTTTTGTTCTGGTTTTGCTTAACCTCACAGTTTATGTTGTTTGTTTTTAAGTGAATACACCAAGATAACCTTAAACGCCTCATTTGACAGATTCTCTTTTTCCATATCAATACTCTTTCTTAAAAAAGATCTCCTGGTGATTTATTAGCATAATAACGGATTCCTATGAATTATGTTTTATTATGACTTTTTTAATATCTTCTTCAGGATGTCTCTTGGGGAACTGTTTCACTAGCAGATGCTGAGAGGCGCCTTTTAGGCAATGCACTGCTAGACTTTTCAAACGAGCGATTTATTCTTCTCTCCGAGACCTGCATCCCAGTCTACAACTTCCCTACTGTCTACAGATACCTCACTGACTCCGTCCACAGTTTTGTTGAGTCCTATGATGATCCTTCTCGATACGGGCGAGGCCGATACAGCCGCAGTATGCTTCCTCACATTCACCTCAAACACTGGAGAAAAGGGTCTCAGTGGTTCGAAGTTCGTCGTGCTGTGGCTGTTTATTTAGTGTCTGACACCAAATACTACACTCTTTTCCGTAAATACTGTAAGCCTGCTTGCTACCCAGATGAGCATTACATTCCAACATTCTTGAACATGTTCTATGGTCCCATGAATGCTAACAGAACAGTCACATGGGTGAATTGGTCAATGGGAGGTCCTCATCCGGCAACTTACGGCAGAGAAAACGTCACTGTGGGATTCTTACAGGCTATAAGGAACAATGGAACACTTTGTCGATATAACTCAGAGATGACTTCTGTCTGTTTTCTCTTTGCTCGTAAGTTTGACTCAACTGCATTGGAGCCATTGCTTAACTTATCTTCAACAGTCATGCACTTTTGAAAATTTTGATCTACAGAGTGTGTGAGAGAGAAAGTGTGGGGTATTCAAAAACTATTTTGTTTTCTACATATTGATAGAGAAGTTAATGAGAGTATAGTGAACGATTTTGCATGGGTCAAAATGTAAAACGTAAAGATTTTCTTGTTCTCACGGATTTTTTTCTCCTCAATTTCCCAGTGAGAAGAAGCAAATATTTCAGGTCTAACAATACTCATTACATAACCAAGGCACAGTTTTACAATTTCTTTTCACAGAACAAAATTCTTGTATTTGAAGTGATCTTCCGGCCGTCGTCTAACGGACAAAAAAATGACACAATAGTGCAATCGACACATAATATTCACTTCTCCCTATTTATATTGATAATTTTTTAACCTCTCAAAATTTGATATAATTATTTTTATGAGATATGAGTACTGAAATTGTTTAATATGCAATAGCCACTAATCATGAGGCACAAGAACATTTCCAGAATAAAAACTAGAAAATAAGTTCCTTAAACAATAATGTGGCAAGGAAGAAAAATGAAAAAGCTGCAAGAACTAAACAATGAAGAAATTAAATTGAAGGGGGAAGAAAAAGATAAATTATCTGAAGAATGAATCACACTGTTTTGCCATGTAAGCCATTTACACCGGCTTTCACAGAGGAAAAATAAAATAATATAAAATAAAAAGAACTAAACAATGAACACCTCTATACCTCACTATATACACCATAATTCAAAGTAATGAATGAATGGCACAATCACAAAAACGAAGACAGCAAAAGCCCAATAAGGGGAAAATTGTGAAGTCCCCATGCTCTTGGAATTTTCATTCACTGAGGCACCAATTGAAAAGCTCCATCTAAGACACGAAATTAATCTTACCAGTTGCCTGCTAAACTCAAATACTTTGTAAAATGAGTCTGTTTCGAACATCCGAGTATGAACATCAAGACCAGCAAGGGTTTTGCCTGGTCAAAGCCATGGATGACGAACTAATGGTCAGTTTGGTTTGACTGTTTTTCATAGGGATCAATCCAGCATTTGTCATTCTTCACAGCATCTTTCCATCTTTGCGCAAAAACTTGCATTTCAATGAATGACTGCATCCTCACCTGCAATTGGTGTTCAAGTTGTATTATGAGAGGTGAGATTCTTGAATCAAAATAAGCATTCGAGATTAACACACATTATCAAAAATTTAATATCTCCATAGGTAAAATTACCTATGAATGTGAAACAATTCTTTCTTCATTTTTGCATTAACAGTGTTTACTATAATGTTAACCTTTAATTTTGATGCAAGGGAGGGGTGCGTGTGCGCGCGCGTGTGTAAACATTCAGAGAAGAATATATGAACACTTACTTTAGCTCTGGAACTATCTTCATGAGGGGTTGATGGTGCCTGCCATGCCATAAAAGAACAAACAATTTAAATAATGAAAAGGTCAACTGAAACAGAACTTGACTTTAGAATATGTACCGGTGCATCTGAACTTGAAGGAGGATACACTGGAGCTTTATCGTTTACCTGCATTGAGTTTTTTTTTTTTTTTTGAAAAAAAAGTCAGATACAATCCAAGAAGTAAGCTTAGAAGTGATTAATGATAATTGCATCTTCCAAGAAATGAAGTTAGTCGAAATATGTGTTAGAATCCAATATGGCAACGAAGCAAGACAGTCACATAAAAGAATAGAGATTCTAACCTCATTGCCATGTGAACCACCAAGAGTTGGAAGACCCAAATGAACTATGTATTCTGAGTCAACTACACCAACATTTCTCATTCGATCACCCTGAAATATTGTCAAGATATAACAGTTACCCGAAAATAATATTAAAAAAAAAATCGTTTTAAATGAACCTGCTCTGCCCAAGCAAATTACCTGTGCACAATAACCAAGCTGCCTATCAAGGCCCCAGGCATGGATTAAATCATTCTGTAGACAGAAATTTGATTAGGGAAACACGACCATTAAAGAAGAAATAGCACAAAATTGAAAGATTAAAATAGTCCTACTAAGCAAAACAGAATCACACCACCATGCGTGATGTGTGTGTGGGTAGTATAAAAATGCTATCACACCCTATTGCAGAACATACCAATAAGAGATTCTTAGGTACACCCAGGTCAGCAAAGATAGGCAAATCAAACCAATCATAAAGAGATAAATTGACTAAAGTAAGGTGAGAGTAACTTTGTCTCAAAATTGTAAAAGCCCGTTTGTAACAGTAAACAAAACAAGCCCGTTATTTCGTTGTCCATAGACAAGAAGTATGAGGCAACCTAGAGTACATTGTTTTAAAATACCCATCTAGTGATTTGCTCAGGCATAAATCCAGATTATAAGCCCACAAAAGGCTGGAAAATCTTCGAACTTTCCATCATCCATGCCATTATAACCATTTGTTTCAAATCCCCACGTGCAAAGTGAATGTGATGCACATTAGCATGTCAAGCCACAAGTGTCAGATGCTGTTCTTGGGCAGAAATAATTTATTGTGATTTTCAGAATATGGCTCAGTGTTATATTCAATACCTGTATCATATGCCAAGCACATCGCCATGCATTTCTAGAGAACACTGGTGCCATCATTTCCACCCAGCTGCAATGTAATTTCTTTCACTATTAAATTGAAGGTCTGCTTTAATAGCATAGTTGATTTTGATGAGTTGAACTTAATTAAAAGGAGAACAGTATGACATACAGTGTGGAGTTTACTTACCCAATACAAGGAGGAGAAGTGCTATGGTCATCGCACCTTCCACCGCCTTTTAACTTATAATATCTTCTGTTACAGACCAAAACAATAGGGTATGAGAAGCATTACTAAATGACCCAAAAATTATAGCTAAATATCACATACGAGTACCAAGTAAATGAGGGGATAATAGAATCCAGTATAAATTATTCAAGGGAATCATAAACTTATAATTTGGTGCCAAATGTGGATGATTCCGATCCACAATAATCGATATATACAACTGAGCTGAACTTATTCATATATACACAGGAATACACGTAGTTCTTGTGTCTCTCAGTGTGTTAAATGAAACTGTAAGCAGCGGAAGACTGAGAGAGGAAATAAGGTTAGTTAACCTGTGCACTTTTGATGCTCTTTTACGAACTGTGAGTGGATGATGCACTTCTGATTTACTGGGATCAAGTGCAGGCTGTGATATCTCAAGTCCCTCTTCTTTGACAATAGATAAATACCTATAAGATAATTGATATATTGTCAGTACGAAGCATAAGTAATTATGTATAGCTTTTTGACAAATGGAAACCAAATGATTTACTTTTTTGGGTCAAAATTGTCAACACCTATGTCCTCATCCCAGAGAAATATGTAATTGTAATCAGCAACTATGTCCGGATGCAAAAACCGTTTAGCAAACCACCTACACCATCAACTAGCATTAGTATATTCACTCAATACATAGAAATTTATTCTGCATATAGCTGATTACAATTTGAGAAGAAAGATTCAAATGTGATCTGGTCAATACCATTTTGTTTGGTTGAATGCAGACACATGTATGGCATGGTTGCTCCAAGACAAATCCTTCCATCCATCCACAACACCATCATAGTGAAAAAGCATCACAACAAAATTGCTTGAAGGAAACTGCAATCAATTGTGAAGTCAGAACTCAGAAGATAAAGCATGAAAGTTTGATAAAAGTCAAAATATTCAAGTCAAGCAGCTTTCACCTTTTCTACAATTCTATTGACAACTGCTTTCTGCTTAATTCCTACCGCCATAGCCAACAAATTCAATGCGGGGTTTGAATTTCTCTGAAGCAAGAATAATGCACAAAGTGAGATGAGGAATAAATTCGACAGAAAATAAAGGAGGAAAAAAAATAAAATTAACAAAGCAGAGGGTTAGCATCCAGTGGGTTTTGTACTCTGCATAAAGCGCACACATCACATACATTATTTACACCTGAATCCCACAATGGTCGCATTTCCAAGTTAGATGTTTTAACAACGATTCCTTCAGGTAATGCCTCAGTTCCAGAAGGTCTACATTGATTCTGAAAGGGGGGAGAAGGAGAGAGAGTTAGAACTAATTTTTAAGTAAAGTAACAAAACATTGTCGAAGTATTGTTTCCCTAAATACAGACAAACCTTGCATCCAGGGGATTTTGTATTCTGCATTGCACGAATTAGACCCCATTGTGCTAATTTCTGCATGCATAGTATCAAGAATTATTTGCTGAATAGTTGTTAATCAGATTTCAAACTCATTCCTCTAAAGAACACAAAAGAAATGTAAGGTCAAGTGAAATTTAACTATAATCAAACAAACTCAGAGCCTGAAACATAGAACAGTTTGTCCACAACAAAAATCTAAAACAAACTCGCCGGGGGGGTGTTTGATGACCATTCAACTGGTCTTTGTGATCAAAAGAAGAAAACCAATTTTTCAGATTGACCTAGCTAGCTGCAGCTTCAATCTAGAAGATGCATCTTGTTGATGATACAATAAATTGATTGTAATCAGTCTTAAAATGCAAAATGCTTGACTGAAAGTACGAAATTTGAGAAAAGTGATCGATTCTTGATAGCTGTACATTGATAAAGAATGAGTTATCATCAAATAATTCAGATCAATAAAATTCTTCATGACATAATGTCAGCACTTTCTTTCTCAGTGTAATGTCAAAACTTTGGTACTAAAAATTAGAGATACATACTCCTTTGTACTCCTTTGCGATGGATGTGTCGCCAACAAAGAAAGCCGCACAAAGTAAAGAAACCGCAATGATGAATGTCAAAAATAACAACCTGTTCTTTGATTCTGCCGATACAAAAGCCTGACAAAAAAGAATAAGAAGTCAAAGTTACATTACAACTCAAAATGATTTCTACTTGCAAAGTTGATTATCTCATTGGTCCAATTTATGTACTTAGTCCATCATTATCCGGCATAGCAATCAGATAGTTTAAAGAGGCGACCAATATGACATAACGGATTCTGAAACATCATCATTTGTGCTCAAAAATCCTATCGTGAAGAAACCTATCAAAATCCGAAGCAGCGATTTTTTTTTTTTTAAAAAAAAAAACTAAACGAAGGTAAAAATGAAGCAACATGTCGCCAAAAATAAACTTTTTATTTAGAAAATGAACACCCCATGGAACTACCAGTCCATCTAATGATTCAAAAATCAGAATATTCTTCGAAAAAGTTGTGTGATGAAGTTTAAAGCCAGTTTAAGACGAAGAGACGAACGCAATTTCAATTTCTTCTCTTCTCTGGGAATCCTGAATTTTAAAAATGTTTTGCAGTCTTTATTTTCACGCGCTAATTTGCGCACACAATCTACTCTCGACTCGATTGGAATTGAAGCAAATTTTAGTCTTTTGAACTTTGACAGCAGCTAAAAATTCTTCGCGGAAAAAAATCAATAAACAGAATAAAGTCTCATGATAAGACCCAGTCAACAATCAAATGATTTTAAGTTGACAAAGGACCAAACTGAACTGCGAACTCAAACTGTTTTTTGAAGAAAACCTCACCACCGAAGAAGATAGCAAACAGAGATACAATTCAAACCCAAGCAAAAATTTCCTCCTCGAAGTTTTAAAACAATGAACTTCATTATTTTAATATTCAAATTTCAAACCCATTAGAAATCAGAAGAGGAAGCCATTAGTTCAACATATAAAAAAATGAAAGCCACGGAAAAAACAAGCTAACTAGATTGAACACCCATCATTGGAAAACACAGAATGGTAAGAACGAGAGAGAGCTTACAGAATTGAAAGACTTCATTTTTTTTGTTCTTTTTGGTTGTGGGTGATAAAGAGAACGGAGAACAAGTTGTACAGAAGACTAATAAAAAAACAACTTTTTGGTATTCTTTAGATTCAGACTAGAGTTGTCTGAAAGAAAAGAAAGGAATGACCAGAGGAAAGTTGAATGGAGAAAGGGAGGAATATGACGAAAGGCGAGATCAACAAGAGAACTAGAGGGGCAGAGAGAGAGAGAGAGAGAGAGAGAGAGCATCATGCACGGACAGGTTGCTTTGTTCCCATGAAACGACGCCGTAGGAAAACACAAGGAGTCATCGGCTGAGTTGGATTGAAAGTTGAAACTAGAAATGAAGCAAATTAGCAAACCATCGCTGGAAGCTTACCCCACCATTGCTTGAAGAAAAACAGAGAGAAATAAAGTGGTGGTTAAGGAAAGTCAGTGAAAGGATAAAAAATTATAAATAATACTCATAGTATAGTAGTTAATAAGTAGTGAATGATGAGAAAAAATTACATTTATTTTCGCTAAATTTATTAAAGTTAGAATAAACCCCTGGTATTACGCAGGGGTCAGTCTTGTAGTGGTCAGAAAAAAATGGCACAACCCTCCCAAGTAACCAGAAAAAGATCGATTTTTATAAAATAAAAAAATTAATATAAGTATTAGTTTCTTAAGTTTGTTTTTGTTTTAGATTTTATTTTTTAAGTTTTAAACTCTCAAATTTCTTTTCATTTTCTTTTTATTTAAAATAAAAATTGGATCGTGTTATTGAAAAACAAAATCTATAATTTAAAACTTAAAGAGTCAAAATCAAAATAAGGACAAATTTAATAGACAAAAAATTATATTAACCCAAAAAAATAACAACTTACATGTGTTTTAAAAAAAATATTAAAAGTATATATAAATCAATGTTTCATTTTCAAAATTCATAAAAATTATTATAAGGCAACAACCAAATTATCCGGCCATTTAAAGGTTGCTTTATTTCCGGTGAAACCTTGCCGTAGAAAAATACAGGCCATCAATTAAACTGAATTGAAAGTTGAAATGAACCATGGCTGTTCCACTGCGCCAGTTTATTGCTGTGGTGGTTAATAAAGTCAGCAAACAATTTATCGATTTTTTCCCCCAAAGATCATAGTAAACAATTTATTGTTATTAGAACGAATTAAAATTACAATTGTTTTCACTAAATTTATTTAAGGATTAATATAGTATTTGGTCTTTTAAGTTTGTACTCATTTTAGTTTTAGTTCTTTAAGTTTCAAACTATAATTTTTAATTCCTCAAATGCTAAAATGATCCAAATTTTTATTGAATTATAAGGACTAATATTATAAATGAAAAAAATTTGAGGAATCAAAACCTATTACTTGAGATTTAAGGGACCAAAATCAAAATAAAAATAAGTTTAATGATCAAAATTTATATTAACTTTTTATTTAAATTAGAATGAAAAAATGCACAAGCAACCAAGTAACGGTAATTCTTGTGATGGTTAAATTAAAAAAAAAAAAACTGCACAAACCTTAAAGTAACGGTGAACAAAAAGGAGCTTGGATTTACAGGGAAAAACCAAATTAGATCCTACTGATTTGCCCGTATCCAGAGACTTCTTTTTTTTTTTTTGATATTTTAAATCGATGATGCGTGGTTCTTGAAAATAAATTTCTCATATACTCCATTATTTGATGACTACATAGTTTGTCTCCTCGTTTAAACATTTAGATATATTTTTTAAAATAAATGAATAAATCACACGAGTCTTAGAAAAATGCAATAAGAATATACACGTACGAATTCATTTCATATTTTATTTTCAAAATTTCTTCTATAATAAAAAATAAATTTTCCACTCATTTGAAGAATTGTTTGGTACCAAAAATGAGACGTACCAGTATTTATATTGAGGTAAAAAACATATTTTAGTTATTATTTCAAAAGTTAAATGCCACGTTTCTAAACATAAGTGGTGATTAATTTTTTAAATTTTATTTCTATTAAGTCTAATAAAAAAATGGAAAAAATGTACAGCATATTTTTCCATTCATACACTTATTTTGGTAAGGATAAGTGCTAAAAATTATATCATGTTAATGTACTTGTATTTTAAAAAATTAATCCTCTTGAAAACTGTATTATAATTGGGTAATGGGTAGAGAAAAAAAACAATTATAATTTTAAATATTTAGATAAAAACTAAATCATAATTTTAAAAATAATTTTATAGAATAAGTATACGAGAGTTTTGAGCTATTAAGGGGTGTTTGGCAAAACCAAAACCTAGGTTTCAGAATCACTTTTCACAAAACGAGGTAACCTCCTCCACATATTACTTCGTAATCCGTAAAAGCACTTTTGAAACCATGGTTTAGTTTCTATCCAAACACTCCCTAAAACCTTTTTGAAAATCACGACAGCATGGCGCCGCCGGCCGCTGCGTTGGGCACATGATTAGTTGTTACCGTACAAATAGGTAGCCACCAACATGAAACACTTTCACTTTTAAGATATCGTTATCATGGGACCTTGTCGCGTAATTAGCGTGCGGGAAGAGTCGACCATGAGAGGCCACGTGGATGCGCCCACGTTTTAAAACGGTGGATGCCACATCGTGCGCTCAAGTGTGAATTATCGTTCCTCCGCGTGGACCGCCGCCAACTCCCCCCTCTCCGCTTCATCCTTAAAAAACACGAACAAAAAAATTCACTGAAAAAATAAAAATTATCCTCTTGATTTCTATAATTCTGATTTGGTTATGCTCCCTTAATATAAGTATTATTTAATTAATTTAATTAGATTAAATAAATTAGATAAGTTAGTTAATTTTGAAAAATATAATATTTTTTCTGAAACATCATACGCTGGTTCTTAATACAGACTTAATGTTAAAGTTGATTTTGATCCTAAATATAAGATCTACTCTATTTCTCATGTTTATCAATTTTCTTAAATTACTTATATTGATACTTTCTCTATGATAATCAAGTAAATGAGAGAAAGAATATTAAGAAATATACTTATGGTATTTTAAGAAAAATATTATCATATTTTTCATAATTAACTAATTTACTTAATTTTTTAATTAACCAAATTAATTAAATGGTTTTTTAATATCATAAGAGTAGTTTATAAATCCTGATTCGATGTAATTCATAGCTCATAATTTCAACTCATTTCTCTTCCCTGTTGATGTAACTCCCGTCGTAGATGCAACTAAAGTCAAGTATGATATCAAAAAATTAATTTTAATTAAATTCTTTTTTATTTTTCTCTTTCCATATCTAAGAGTCCATGACTTCACGTTCACACAAATTCTGATCCTTATCACGTTTATTAATAATTAAAAAAATCAACAAAAAAACGGAGACCATGTGTTGGATAGGATCATCACAATTTGTCAAATTCCTCCCCGTTTTTTCCCAAGGAGCGTGTACTCATAGATATCTTATGAATTGTTTAAATTTATATTTTTACGAAGTTTTAATTAGAAAGTTATTATTGTTTTAATTCCTCATATATTAAAATAAATTGTATTTAAAAATACAAGTAAAATGATATTAAATCGTAATCATCTAGTTTTAATTTAAATCGTCAAGGTTTGGCACTCAATCCCTCAAATTTGTATTGTTTCTCCATTATATTCATATATTTGCAATAGTTATTTTTGAAAACCAAATTATCACCTTTTAGAGCTGTCATTTGATATTGAGTCAACTATGCTTTGGAAAAAAAAAAAACAGCAATGATTGATTAGTGGGGGTTAAATAGAGCAATTTGTTCTTTGATTCCCTTTGACAGATATGTTCTTTTTTATTAAAAAAAAAACACAATGATTTGAGAAGCCAAAGCCACATAAGTTAAAAAATGATTTCTTACAATACAAAGGTGATTACCTCATTGATCCAATTTATGCTCTAACTCTCTACATCATCCAGCATGATAATCTTTTTTTTTTTTTTGTTCAGAAGATAATCATATTATATATGAGTGTGTGTGAAGAGATAACCAATTACACGCCAACTCTAGTATATACAGGTTGTTTTTTTAAGATGAGAAGTGGCTTTGAACTCGGCCCCCTTCAAAATTTCTGATACATTAAAACCCAAATACATAGCTCAATGGGCCCAGTTTGAGATCCCAAAGTCCAGACCACAAAGCCCACATGTTGGTGAGGATTTCTAACTTCTTGCAAAATATTGATGCCCAGGTCAAGCCATACATCGCCTCATAATTTCTTCATCGTGTTTTCTTTTTTATGAAATAAACTCAAGTTCATCATATAGTATGAGAGTTCGTTATGAAGTAAAAACAGAGAAGAGCCTAACCCCATCCGTAGAGTCCAACACCCCCGTGGCTAAAATATCAGCTACTAACTCAAGTTCATCAGATATTTTTGGAACTTAGATTCTCTCCACTTCTTTCTCATCCTCTTTCCCTCCACTATCCTTTTTGGCCCTTTACAACCATTGGATCAAAACTTCAATGGTCCGGATTAATATTTACAACATTTTATAAAAATAAATATAATTATAAAAATAGATAAATAAATTTAAACTATTAAATCTAATTTGAACAGCTCATATCTATAGATTATTATTACAGAGCAAATTTTTTTCAACTTTTTTTTATTACAGTTATTAACTGTTTAGACCAGATTTTAACAGTTTAAATTTATTTATTTATTTTTTTAATAATATTATTTTTATAAGATGTCAAATCTCAATTATTGGAATTTGGATCCAATGGTGTGAAGGGAAAAGAGGGTAGTGGAGAGGAAGAGGATGGGAGAAGAAGTGGAGAGAATCCAAATCCATGCTGAAAAGCTATTGCCCCGTTTGTTCATGGAATAAGTGGAAATGCAATGGGATAATAACTAGAAATGTAATGTAATGCAATGATGATTACAAAAAGTTGTTTGGTACAACACTAAGAATGGTAAAACTAAATTTATTATTAATATTTAATTAAACTGAACCAAAATTGAAAAGATAAAAATGGCCTTAAATAAAATCACTTATCCCTGTAAGAACTAGGCATCTTCATCCCATAATCCAACGCTAGCAAAGAAAAGCAATAATATGTGCTTTCTTGTTCGTTCTTCAGTTTCCTTTCACGTCTTCATAGAATCGCAATAGGCAGTCTGTCAAGAAAGGATGAAGGGTCGGGCGGCATATGGAAAGGTTGTAAATGGAAACAAGGAGGCAAGGTCATTGATGAAGGAGCCTTGGGCGGAGAAAGATAATAAAGAAGGCAGGAGCAAATACTGTCTTTTTATTTTATTCTCACATATTCTAATCCATTCTTTACTTTTAGAAGTGTAATCTCTATTACCTCATATGATGTAATCCTAATATATTAGGATTATCTAAATAAACCAATCAAACATTTGGAAGAGGACATTGCATTGGATCACATACTTACCTATATTTATAAATCACGATTAAAAAAATTATTAAAATTATTTATAAATGATTCTAAACAGGTTCTATGTAATTAAGTCTAAACAATCATTCAACATTTTTTTTAAAGCCATATGCCCTAGCTTACAAGGGCACATATTATTTTTATTTGAAAATTTAACCTTTTGAGCAACAAGTGAGGTCTCATGTTCCAAATTTTCATGAGCCTTCAGCAAGTATAATTGAAGGTCTACCAGTCTCTATAACCTTCCCATTTATTTTCATTTATTTTTAATATAAATTGAATTAAAATTTAGTAATGGAAGGTGATTGAATAAAAGAAAACAATGTTAAGCCTTTAAATTCTGTAGATAAAAAAATCATGTTAAGAGAGTTATCTCTATTCGATTTATAATATTCGAAATTTCAAATACAAAACAAAATTAGAGGCATGATTTCTCCTCTTTTTTTTTCTCTGTGCTTTCAAAAAAAGTAAAAACCTGCACTAACGTCGTTGGATCTGTCCGGTAATTATAGTTATTTTCCTTTTTCTTTCTTTTATTTTTGGTGCTGGGGAAATCGCTGATCAGCTCCCCAGATCTCAGCCCGACTTAATTCTACTTCCTTCGTAAAATCTACGTGCTAGTGGGCAACGGCCCCATTATTAGTATGTATTGGATGATGCCGTTGAGTGCTCTGTGCTCCTTCTCTTGAGAAATTCATCCAAAACTGATAGCTTGGTTCTGCAATTAAGCTGCTCGAACAAGATGCCTGAGATTGCCGAAGCCACAGTGGTACTGACTGCTAACTTATCTACAAGTCCTGATTTTTTTCTCTATTGAAGATCAGAATTACCATAAGCAGCTCCGTCTTTAAACTTTTCATCTTGCAATTTCCGCGTTTATTCTTGATTCACAGACAATTATCAATTACTTACGAGAGCATGCGTTAGTTTGTCCTTTTTTTTTTCTTTCCCTTTTTTGTTTGTTTGTGAGTGATTTACTGGTATGCAGAGTCCTTCTGTTGGTGAAAATAACGATACACCGAAGAATGGATTTGACTTGGGAGCTTTTGTTGGAGACTTAACTGTCGAAGAGGATCTAAGCAGGTTTGAAGATTTCTTTGCCATCCTGATTTATGTGAAAGTTTTATCTGAGGTGTTTGAATCAAAATCATTTTGATGCAGTGATGATATATCGTTGGAGGGACTGCAACAGGAACTGGAAGAATGTAAAAATGATGAAGTAAGTAATTTAATGATCAGCGTTTCGGGAAATCTGGTAATTAAGATACTTGTGAAATGGATCACAAGGAGCAGGCGTGGTTATCGTGCATGACTATAGATAGACATAAGATACTTTCTGCATTCTGCTTCTAGTAACAATAACGTTTTTGCCTGTGATGTTTGTACTTCTTCTCTCAATAAAGCCCTACTGCGGAGAAATTACTTGTGCTGTTGTGCTAAATTTCCCCCTCTTTTGGCATTTAATTTGATCAATTGCGCCGCAAGCATGTCTGTTTTCTCTTAGCAATGGGTATTTAAGTTAGGATATGGCCTAATATTGAATCCAAAAGCACTTTCTTGTGCACTGCGCTTTTGCAGTAATTAGACTGACGTTTAATCTGTTAACCAAATGAAACACATACACAGATATGACTCGTGGATTGAACTTCCAAAACATATATCATGGCATGCAATATATATTCACTCAGCACGATATGCACCCATAAGTTTTCAGTTTTATGAACAAAGCTAATTTCTTCTGGTCTGTGGTTACAATACACATTGTTTAAATTTTTCCAAATTTCCCTCGCCTCTTCCAATTTCTCTTCTGCAACTACATTGATGTATAGGCATAATTATTAACTTTGTTTCTCTTGTCTAGGTAGTTGCAAACATATTATCTAAAGGTACAAAAATGAGGGATTACACGAAAGGTGTTGAGGTCAATTTGCGCAAAGTGGAATTGGATTCAATTCAGGTTTGTGGTTAATTTTCTGACGTTTGTGAATGCTTATTCATTTGTGATGGATACCAAAAAGGCCGTAGATCTTTTATCCTTTATTGTATAATTATTATTATGTCAGTTATTCCTTACCAATAATCATGTTTTGTTCCGTGATTATGGACAGCATACTAATCAATTAGTATTCCCCAATGTTCCAAACGCTGCAGGATTATATTAGGGAAAGTGATAATCTAGTCTCTCTTCATGATCAGATTCGAGATTGTGATAGCATCTTGTCACAAATGGAAGCTCTTCTTGGTGGATTTCAGGTATGCTGACACTTTGAGCACCTAGGATATATGAGCATTTATCAGGATAGAGATAGCACATAATGTCTTCACTTTTCTATTTTTATGTAAGTTGAAGAGTTCTCTATTTCAGCATATATGGTGAGGAAGCAGTTTTTCACTCATAAAATTAGTCAAATTGATGGGCCGCCTTTGTAATTTTTCCTCAATCTCTTTGTTATATTAGATAGTCACTGCATCAAAGTTTCTAACTTAACCTGCATATCCTTGGTTATATGTATGTTTTTATGTTGGAGATGATAAAAAAGATGTCAAAATCATATCTGAAGCTGTCTGCTCTTGCTATTTGTAGCTTAACTTTTATGAGCTCACGTTTACTACAAAATAGTTTGAAGGACTACTTTGAATTTTGAATGGAATTTCTTTGTGAATATTTAATTTGGTTTCCAGGCTGAAATTGGTTCTATCAGTTCAGACATAAAGATTCTCCAGGAGAAGTCTATGGATATGGGTTTGCGGCTTAAGAATCGTAAGGTATGAACATTGTTTTATACAAAAAAAAAATGTTGATGATGGTGATCCCTCCTGCCCGGCACCATATAAACTAAATCACTAGTATCTTGTATTATACTGTCATTTTGATCTGCAAACAAAGAGCCTAACGCTGATTGCTATTTGACAGTTGAATCAATCTCTCTGATAAGAATTTGTAAGCCCTTCCCCCTAACTTGTGTAATATGTTATTTGACCGATAGTTTTCTTGCAACAGGTAGCTGAATCCAAATTGGCTGAGTTTGTGGAAGACATAATAGTCCCTCCAAGGATGGTGGATATAATTGTTGATGGAGAGGTCTATATTCCTCAACCCACTCACCAATATTGAATTTGTTGATTTTGTTGGTGCAACAAGCGTATAATCATTTCCTGTAGCACTCTTTGCTTCTTGATTTGATCTCAACGTCTATTTCAGCTTTTTGAGGTGTTGAAGAGGCAGTTTTAATTGAGGATCTCTCTTAATTAATTCTTGAAGTTTCTGAATTTCTGCATGTGTACATGATAAACTCCTGTGATTTCTTGTTACCACAACCTGTATCATTCAAGTGATCAAGCCCTTATGGAGTGAAAACTTAGGGGCTCAAGATCTTTATTTGTTCTTAGCATTTCAGTTCTCTCTCTCTCTCTCTCTCTCTGTGTGTGTGTAACATTGTTTAATTTAACAGTTGACATAATTCTAGATGTCGTTAAGTATGGCCATATTGAAGATATATGGAACGACTCCCTTTTTCGGGAATGGGACTTTGATTGACAAGTTATTGTGACTTTTTGATAAGATGTCTCTTCTATTTCTTCCACGGCGTTCTCATATTGATCAAAAGCAATTTTTTTTTAATCGTTATTAAAGTAAATGTTATTCATTTCATCTGCATCAACAGCACCTGATGTGCACATTGCTCAGTATACCCATGTAGCTTTCTTCTTCTCTTTGGAATTCAGGTCAATGAGGAATATATGCGAACTCTTGAGATTTTGAGTAAGAAACTGAAGTTTGTAGAAGTGGACCCAATGGTTAAGGCTTCAAAAGCTCTAAAAGATGTTCAACCTGAGCTTGAAAAACTCCGTCAGAAAGCAGTTTCAAAGGTTATTTGATCCTATTACTGTGATCGTAGGACTTCCTTTGTTTCTTTTATAATCTTATATAAATATCTTGCACGTATTTATTTTTCTTAATGTGAGATGCCATCTGCTAACAATTAACTTCACTATGGCTAATTTTTCACAGGTGTTTGACTTCATTGTTCAGAAACTCTATGCGCTAAGAAAACCCAAAACAAATATCCAAATTCTTCAACAAAGTGTCCTGTTAAAATACAAGTGAGTTTCCCCTTTTCCCTAGACGCTTCAATTTTCATCCTAATATTTATCTGATCAATAGATATTTTGTTTGCTTCAACATCTAGTTACAATTTTTTTCTTCTTCTTTCATTGGGATGAAATTCTTGCAAGTCATTATTTGTTTGGACTTTTGTCTGAATGACTCTCCCTCTATGAAGCTGGTTTTGCTTCATAACACATTTTCACAAAATCGTTTTCCAATTTTAAATGGATGAGTTCAATAAGCTCTTATTTATTACCTCAAATAATGGCTACATGTGTTTGCTTGTTTAATTTTCTTCAAATGCATCTCCCTTGAGCAAGAGTTTCTATTTTCTAATCAAATATGTTCAACCTTAAGTTTTTTGACTGGATATTGTATAGGATTAAACTATGAACTGTGATGCATAAAAGTGGAGCTGCATAGTGTCGAGCATGACACTTGAGATTGCATTTCAATGCTATTTATCTCCATCTGTTGCAGTGTTTGCATCTTATGCAACTTATTTGTGTCATGTATTGGTATCATTGCTTCCTTGGGTTTGAATTTATTTAGGTTTAACTTATTATTTTTCAGCCTTGGAAGCAGGTAGCTAAAACAGCTGTGATTGTGCTTACAAAAAGTATTTGACGATTTTGTAGAATATAGTTGCTCAATATTCTCAGGGTTTTCTTTTCTGGTTTACATTTTTGCTTGTCAGATTCACACACGTATGTTTAGCCAGCCAAGAGGAGAATGATGTGAAATGTAGTCAATCTTTTTTCCACTTGGTTGCTCTTGAGTGTGGAAGTCATTGTGGTTGTTTTTTAACTATGGGTTTCTTGTAAACCTAACAATTGGGAGCATGCGAATGTAGGTATATTGTTTCCTTTCTCAAGGAACATGGCAAGGAGGTATACAATGAAGTTCGTGCAGCATACATTGATACAATGAACAAGGTAACTATTGTAATCAGAATATTAAATGAATATTTTCCTTGACCAAAATTTTGGAAACTTAATGGCTGGAGAAGGTTTGGTTGCTCAAGATGCAATTATTTTCGATTATTTTTCCTGAGTGGGAGACTTTTCTAATGAACTTTATGTCATCATTGTGTCCAATGTGCCATCAGATTAGATTTTATTTAATTTGGTTTTCTATACCTAAGTGCCAAAAAATACAAATTTTCTTTTCCCAATGGGGTTTGAATCTAGGTATGGACAGCATTTGAGACTGAAAGGAGCTCAGTTTCAGCCTGATACAGATAAATGCTGTCTGGTAGCTGTCCCTTTTGATCCATGTTGATCAATTATTTTATTGTTAATCTTTGCTCTGGATTATCAATGCTTAATACTTATTCCTGGGATTTCTTGCACGCTAAATATATTGCCTAGTGAAGGATTTAATTCTGCTGTATTTTTGCAGGTTCTTAGTGCACATTTTCGAGCTTACATACAAGCACTAGAGAAACTACAGTTGGATATTGCGACATCCAATGATTTAATTGGTGTGGAGACAAGAAGCACTGGGCTCTTTACAAGAGTCTGGGAACCATTGAAGAACCGATCTGCAGTTTTTGCTCTTGGTGATAGGATCAATATATTAAAGGTACTGTGGAAGTAAAGTTTTATTTTATTTTTTGTTGTATTGTAAGCATTTTAGATCTTAAGGGTATCACTGTATATTCTCCTCAGATCTGGGGGGTGTGTGTAAATTTATTTTGCCTCTTGCCTATAGGCCTTCCATCATCTGTGAAAGACCAGAGAATTCATACAAGAGAATAATGATTCTCTCTGCCTTTTATTTTTTCCTACAATAGTTACAAGTCAGTTTAGAAAGGAGTATTTTGCAGATGATTCTTTTTCTAAGTGCTCACTGAATTGGCCAAGAAATCTGTGTTTTTACTGGTGTCAATGGCTCTACTCAAGGAGTGCTTGAAATAAAGTTAACAATTTGTGAAGACAAAGAAACATATTTTGAGTGGGATCCTTTCCGAGGCTCCAGCTTTCTGTTACTTGTCTTATAAAGTGATCTATAAATTTTATTTTGCTTAGATATGAGATGGAATGAAGTTATATTAGAAAGCATTTAGTTTTCTTTTGTTGGACAGATGAATTTTTCCTGCTATGGTATAGTTAATAGGAGCTAATGAGTTTATAGATGATTCTGATCTTCAAAAATTTTAGGGACTTTTGGATAACTATTTAGAATTGAAAGTCTGCTAATTGTTGTATTGGTACCAGGAAATTGATGAACCTGCATTGATTCCTCATATAGCTGAAGCCAGCTCCACTAAATATCCATATGAGGTCTTGTTCAGGAGCCTGCAGAAGCTGCTTATGGATACTGCTACTTCTGAGTACTTCGCAGTTTTCTGCGCCTCTTAATATTGTTATATAAAATGATAATTCTCTTAAAATCTTCAGCCACGTGCGTGTTGACATTATATTCTTTCATCTGCAGATATCATTTCTGTGATGTTTTCTTCATGGAGGAATCTATATTTTATGAAATCTTCTCAGGTATAACTTGTGAAGTTTCTCAATATTTATGTGTTTTCTACTTAACATTTAAACAATTGTAAACTAGTGCTTGGTTATGATGCTCGGAATGAACTTTTTTTATGTTCACTGTTAAATTTGTTATAGTTATTTAATACTACCTCTGGTCCTTAATAGCTAGTTGAGAGGTTGGATTTGGTTCTGAATATAAGACCTTAATCCACTTTTTCTCCCATTTTCCCCCAAAATATCCCTATTATTTGTAAAAGGTTTCCACCAAGGGATGAATCCAATCATCCAATGCACATGATTGAAGAGGACAGTTTAGGAACACCAATAGACATTTGTGACAAATAACTAACTTAACTAATTTTCTTAATATCTCCAAATTAGTTAACTAGCTCTTATATTAAGGACTAGAGGTGGTAAATCTTTTGAGTAAGCATAATTTTCTCACACATAAGTGCCTGAAGATGATGGGAGCTCTAAAACATTGGGAGAATCAAATGACTCTATTTGATATTTGATATTTTCAGGTCCTTTTGGTGTCATTGATGAGCACTTCAGTTTAATACTTCAAAATTGCTATGATGCTATAGGACTGATGCTTATGATATGCATAATACGTCAACATCAGGTAACGAACAGTATGATATTGATTTTTGAGAGAGGAGATTAGATAGCCTTGCACAAATAATCTCCCACTCTTGATGATAAGATTCAAATTTTTTATTTTTAAGTCTTAATACACTGAGCTTGTGATCTGGTAGCATGTAATTTTTTTTTGTGAATTTAGACCGTTGTTGTTGCTTCTTTAATTGAAAAGAGTCTTAATGTGTCAAGTTTTTATTATTTTTTTTTTTTAATGTTGTTTTCATGAACTTTTTCCCCCTCCAAATCATGGAGGACTAAATTTACAAAAGGATTGCCCTAACCCACTATTATTAAACATTTTTTAGGGAAACATTATTTATGAGCAAGGAAAAAAACGGAGAAACTATTTAATTATAAGCATATTTAAACAGGAAAAAGCTAAAAGTATGCTATATAAACAAAAGTGGTAAATTCATGACAACATTTGACTAACCAAACATAATAATCATCAAATGCACCTCTAATATTATTTTATCTCATTCTTTTGGCCTCTGAGGTTGGATTTTATAGTTTCTTATTGTACCTATGACCTTTCTTTTTAATATGTGGCTTGAGCTTCTAAGTTGCCCATTTCCTTTCAACCTTCAAATTACACATGCTTTGGGGGCTTGCCTTGATTGATGCTAGAAGCACCGAAGCCACCGCCAGGAAAGTGCTTGGCTGAAGTTGGCCCTTCTCATAGTGTGAAAGTCACTGGGCTTTTCTCAGTACCTTACCTAAGTGCTTTAAACTCTGACATGAATACCTTTAATTACACTGATTGGACTATAAGATTTTAAATAAATTTTGTTGACATGGCTTTAACACGTCTTTTTCCCACAGCATTTTTTCACAAAAAAAATAAGATTCACTGTCATTTGGCAAATATTTTTAGTGCAACTTCAAATAATCTACTTAATCTGTAGCTGACTTGCCTGTTCTTTTCAGCTCATTATGTCTCGAAGGAGGATCCCATGCTTGGATTCTTACTTTGACAAGGTCAGTTTCCATTGTCTATATATTTATCTAAACAAGGCTCTCTTAATCATGTTTGATACCTGATAAATTTTTCTGGTGAATGGATGAGGATTCATGAGTAACTGTAGGATTTGTGTTGGGCCAATCTAGCTTTATGTACAATTGCAGTGGTTGAAATCAAGGATGTAAGTTAGGAAACTGCCTCATTGCTTACTGCTTAGCAGAGAATTGAAATCAGAGGAAATGGCAGAAAAGAATGCAGGTGCAGATGATTCATTCACACTATCAAGATATAAATAGGTTTACACATACACCCCAGCTATTCTCTCTATAAATGACATGTAGGATAGCAGAATAAACAACATGTATACACAAAGAATTAATGAATAAATGGAAAGAGCTCACCTAGTACATAGCGAAATGTAAGCTCCTTTTAATTTGAATGGAAAGAGCTCACTTAGTACATAGCGAAATGTAAGCTCCTTTTAATTTGAATGGAAAGAGCTCACCTAGTACATAGCGAAATGTAAGCTCCTTTTAATTCATAGTCTTAGCTAGTAGTACTATAATATGGTCAAAATAATAACTAACGGTTCTGCACTATCACTTCATTTATTTCAATTATTAATCATTTTGGAGTAGAGCTAGTGGGATGAAGCTGCTTGTTGTTGTTTGGAGTGCAACTCCAAGCATGATTGGAATGTAAAATTGCTGGAATATGAAGTCTTATAAAATTTTCGTCTCCCCCATCTTCTTGATTGAACTATTGATATTTTGCATGACTGCTCTATATATTTTACTAATAGCTAAAGATTGTTAGACGTATTGTGGAGTGTGTTTTGATTTCCTTATATTTCTCTCACTTACTGCATATTTATTGTCATGTATGAATTCCAGCTCAAGTATGAAGTCTGGATTTAAATGGACCTGCAATTTGATGGTTTTAATGGATATAAATGATGAAAAAGTGTCAATAGGCATGTACGTCATACAGAGTTAAGCTTGATCCATAATAGATTTTGGATCTTACAATGGGCAGGTCAATATTTCCCTATGGCCTCGTTTTAAGATGGTATTTGACATGCACCTCAACAGCCTGCGTAATGCAAATGTAAAGACATTATGGGAAGATGATGTACATCCTCACTATGTCATGAGACGTTATGCTGAGTTTACAGCTTCCCTTATCCACTTAAATGTTGAGTATGGGGATGGCCAGGTCAGTGTAATTTAAAAAAAAAAAAAAAAACTGAGAGGCATGAAAGTTTCTTTTGTGAATTGCTGATACAATCTTTCTCCTTGTATATGTTTCAGCTTGAATTGAATTTGGAGCGATTGAGAATGGCTGTTGACGACTTGCTTATCAAGCTTGCCAAGAATTTTCCAAAACCGAAGCTGCAAACTGTTTTTCTTATAAACAATTATGATATGACTATTGCTGTCCTAAAGGTAGGAATCTGTGAATTGATCCTCTATTCCAGGAAGCAGGTCCCGACTTGCTTATCATATGACTATTTCATTTTTTATAGGCGATGTGGTTCACACAAACACTGATGATCATGAGCTGCTCCTTTTCTTGGCCTTGGCAACTGAAAATTTTCATCTTGTCTGATTCCAGGAAGCAGGTCCCGAAGGTGGGAAAATTCAAATGCACTTTGAGGAGCTTCTGAAGAGCAATACAGCCTTATTTGTGGTAACTGCAATCATTTTCTTTAATATGTCTGGTCTCAGTGGGGGAAAAAACATAGATTTCAGATGTTTAAAGCTGGCATTAATTTAGCATGTCTTGTCATGGAGTGTTCATGTCTAAACTCCCCATCTCCCTTCCAGAAGGCGAACCATATGAAGTCTTGATTGTAAGAACCGAGCTAGGTGTTTGACTATTTCTTTATCCAAGTGCTTTGGGAGAACTTGCAAAAGAGGAAGGGATACTTATAGTATAGGGAATACAACCATTTGACCCTCCTCATCTGCAATTTTCTTTAAATTGTCTTTTATTCTTGCAGGAAGAATTGCTTCAAGAACATTTTAACGATTTAATCAAATTTGTGAAGACCAGAGCCTGTGAGTATCATAATAGATGAAAGCACATGACTTTTTATCTGAATTTGTATTTTTCTGATACTTGCCTTAATTATGTGTAATAACATGTCAGCTGAGGACCCCACTTCAAGTTCCGATAAGCCCATAACTGTTGCCGAAGTCGAGCCACTGGTGAAGGATTTTGCTAGTAGGTGGAAGGCTGCCATAGAGTTGATGCACAAAGATGTGATTACTTCTTTCAGCAACTTCTTGTGCGGCATGGAGATCTTAAGGGCTGCATTGACTCAGCTGTTGCTTTACTATACCAGACTTTCAGATTGCATAAAGAAGATCGTTGGTGGCTCTGCACTTAACAAGGATCTTGTTTCCATATCTTCAATCATGTATGAAATTAGGAAATACTCGAGGACTTTCTAATTTGTTGCCACTGTCATTATTGTATGCTATATCTGATTTTTGATCCGAGGCATTCAATTTATATGTTAACTACAAATTTTTGGATGATGAGAGTGAGATGTGATGCTTCTTTCAAAGATGTTAATAACAGTCAGTTCCTCAGGTAAAATAAGTTCCATTTTATGCACCATTGTAAGTAGGGAGTACTTAGGTGTGGTAAACTTCGGAATCTGTGAATGTAAAATATCAATGCAATTTTTCATCTAGGTGAGGGTGACAATAGTTTGGCCAAAAAAGTTGACTAGGATAATAATATATAATTCACACAAGGATTTTCTTTGGAAAAAAAAAAATATCAGCCGTGTGATGGACAAACATTATTGTGCAGTTTTTTTTTTTTTTGGGGTTTTGGAATAAAATGCGGTAGGAAAATGTCCCAAAACCAAGTTATTAGAAACTCAGAATAGCTTTAAACTTTAACAACAACAATAACAAACTTTATCTCACTAAGTGGGGTTGGGTGCTTAAATTGCATGACACCATTCATGTAGCTAATTTTATTTAGTGGGATAAAGCTTGTTTTTGTTGTTAGAATTCAGAGCTATTTTCTTAAAAATTTTCATGATGATTGTATTAGCATTTATTTGGTGATCCTGACGCATCTAGGTACGACAATTAAACTTCACTTAAGATATGATGAAATGCAGCAATCTAATTACGCATTAGAAAGTTACACATTTGTCAGATATAGTTATCAACAACATGATTGTCATTACAGTGAAGTTCAAATGTTGCCTAGATTGATGTGATCGGATCCATATTTTTCTTCAGGACATATTTGTGATAGCATTTAGCACTTTAGGAAATAATTTGAAATTTCTGGGGCATATTCCTGGTTTTTGAAAAGTACTGTCGAAAAGCAAAAGGCCAATGAAATTAAATTAACATGTCAAGTTTCATGTCATTTATTCAAATATCTGCTCATATATATCGGGGAAAAATTTTAAAAAAAAAATAACGTTAAAATGCTATTCCTTTTAGTTATCTCAAAGGACATATCCTCTCCCACAAACTTATAATTTTGTTTGCATAAAAATTTACGGTTGAAAACAAAAGGCTAAGAATAGTGATTTATGTATGAAATTAAAAGAATAGTTATTTATGTATGAAATTAACTTGTCTCGTTTTATGTCATTAATTCTCATGTATATTAGGGGAAAAAGTTGAAAGCAATTTTTTTTTTTTTTGGGAATGGGAACTATTTTTGGCATTTACTATGGAAAAGATGAATTAGTCTTGGGCTTTACCAAAAAAAAAAATCAAAATGCTTTTAAAATTATAGGTTACTATACATTATTTTCATAGAATATCAATATATAAAATTAATTTATGGCATGAAATATATTGCCAGAGTTAATTATATAAAACTAATACTCATTAAAAAAATACATGTATCGCGTGGTAGTATATGGACCTGACTCAGCCCAAAGTGATTAGGCAGGGCCAGTTCTTTGAGTAAGGTTAGTCGGCCTGATAAACAATGCTGCAACATTTTTTATTTTTTATAATTATTTATAACATTCACTTTGCAGACCCCAGCTTCTCCACCATTAGATCCAACGAACGGTTCGGATTATGTCGTTGGGCGACCACGGCAGGTCCCACCACTAAAATAAATGCAGCATTGCCTGGCTTGCTCCATTAACATGGCCATCCCCTCCACTCCAACCATCATTGCCAAATCTGGTTTGGTGGTTGTGAAGTAAAGAAGATCATGATGCGATACAAAGAGGTTATAAGCTCTCTTTCTCTCTCTGTGAATTCCGTTTATCGATGATGAAAGTGTACGTGTTTGATATTTTGAGAACTGGTGATTCGTTAGTTTCATAACTCTCACTACGAATATTGATCAGGAGAAAGAGGCGAAGAAGGAAGCGTTCAGGAAATATCTGGAGTCAAGCGGAGCTGTGGATGCCCTCACCAAAGGTTTCTCTAACTTCTTCCCCAATCTTAAGAGTCTGTTGGAGTAACTGATGGCTCTTTTAATTGTTTCATTTCCTCAAATAATTTACTCGCGGAACATTTTCTTGCTCTTTTTTGCTGTCTTCCAGTTCTCGTTGCTTTATATGAGCAAAATGACAAGCCTTCCTCTGCCCTTGAGTAAGTACCTTGTGGTTTTCTGTGTGTTTTTGTTGCCATGTGCTTGCGCAAAATCGTGTGCCGCGGACCATTCAAGTAAACCAGTACGAACGTAAATATTAGTTGGGCTAAAATCAAGTCATTTTTAATTTGCTGGGAGATTTGGTATCTCTTCAATTCGTGGTGCATTCTAACCTTTTTTTTAATTTGAATTTGATCTGTTCAAGTTTCATATACTTAGCGTAAATCACTTTAAGGCAATAACGCACAAATAGATAAACCACTTTCAGGGCTTGAGCTTCAGATGATGCTATTTGTGTGTGTCACATGTATAACAAGCTTCTCTTTTTCAGGTTCATTCAACAAAAGTTAGGAAGTACTTCTATATCCGAATATGAAAAATTGCAAGCTGAATTGTCCGATCTTCAAATGAAATATGATGAGCTTTTGGTGGCACACCAGCAGACCTGCAAAGAGGTACTCTCGAATCATTTACACTTTTTTGAATGAGTTGTTGTATTGGTATGAACCCATTGTAAATCTTAATGGGTTCACTCAAATTTATAATTTTTCTTGATAACCTCAAGCTTTACCATTAACAAAAGATGTTTAAAGATTTATTGTTCAAAATTTAGTTTGCATCTACTTGGTATACAGCGAAGGTTATAAGTGTTAGGAAATAAGTGATATGTCAGTGCCGGTGTTTGATTGTCTCCTGCAATCTTTTCATCATATTATGTGATTTTCTTGTCATCAAAGAAGCCTATCCTACCGCATGCTCACCGCCAGACACCAGCACATTACCCATGAACAATTGCTACTGTTCCATGAAGCTCTTTTGTAATAGGTACTTCAATAGTTCTGATACATTCCATATATAGCATGTATGTTTCATCTAGTCAGTTGTACGTAGCTCAAAGTTTAAAACATGATATGATCACCTTACTTGATTTCTATAAGAAATGAATAATATTGAAATGACTAGGAGCATTCTTTGTGTCTGCAAGCGCAAACTGTTGATTATGTGTCAAGTTAGGGATGTTGGCATGTTGGGATTGAAGATGGCAGAGAAATGATGCTTGCTTATAATGTATAAAGTATGGGATATAATGACTTGAAATATTTGGTTAGCAACAAGAATAGGAAATTGTGGCAGAAAATTGGCAACCATTGACAAAGGTAATGGACGAAAGAAAAAGGGAACAGAGGCCATTTGCCTAGGGAAAAAACTGTTTTGGAACATCTGTGTTATGGTTAACTGCGTCAGTATAACTGTTTTGGAACAGAGACCATTTGCCTAGGTCAGGGCTGATTCTTCCTCTCTGTGTGTATGTGCCCCACAACCAGCCGTGGGGGACAAACACAAAGAAAAGCAGATCATGCCAAAATTAACAAATATTGCTTGCCCCTGTGGATACATAGGCAAATTACAGGAAAGTTGCTAATAAAGAGAATTGACTCTTCATTAACTTGCCAAGCCTCCTTATCCAAAATATCCATGAATCTGGGCAAGGGATTCTAAGAATATGTGAGGATACCATTCATCTCATGTGCCACTTTATCTATCCAATCTGCCGCTTGCATATCTGTTGTGTTTGACGGGATTATCCATTCCATCCCGTCCTTACGGAGTAGTTCTCAACCTTTGTTACCAGATGTTGTTGTTTTGCCAATAGCCTCACTTTAAGATGTTGGTTGCCTAAACTGATAACTACTCCAGAAATTTCTATGGTTACTGAATGCAGTATACGAGTAATTTGCAAATTGTCTAGTAATGACATATCTGGAAGTTGTTACTTCACTTGCCTCAGCAGATCTAACTTGTATACCATGTTAATTTTGTTATGGGTGCTTATATGTTGCTATTCAAGCATTTCATGAACTCTTATACAGTTGCTTGAAGTGTCCTGTTTACACCGTGTTAGGATTTAGTCACCAAATCCCATTTTGCTTGACAGTTGGAGGAAATGAAAAATTCACAAGCCTTGGCAGTGACATCTACAAGAGAAACGACTGATAGTGAGTCCCCAAAAAATGGGCTTTAAGGTCTATGCTATAGGTGCAAACTCGACATTCTCGGAGCTCCATACTCGCATGACTTGCGCTGCAACTTTGTCTCTTGTTTCAATCATGTATGAAATTAGGAATTACTACAGGACTTTCTAATTTGTTTGATTGTCATTATTTTATACTAATCTGATTTCTGATCCGAGTCATTCAATTTATTTGTCAACATTAGTTTTTGGATTCAGCATCAGTCAGTTCTGAAGTATTGCTGTTCTAGATCTTCGGAATCTATGAATGTAAAAGATCAATGCAATCATTCATCCCATTGGTGAGGATGGAAATGATATATAATTCACATATGTATTGTTTTGGTAGTTGTCATTTGTCAACGATGGTAAATTTCAAACATTTTGTGGATTGATGCTATCTTTTAGGCATTTAAGAAAGACAACCTGAAATTTCTGGGTTTTATCGTCTCAGTTAGTGGTAGTAGCTAACTTTTAGAAGGGAGAATATTTGATCACGTGTAAATGCCAGTCATAACTTTGAGTAGTAACAACGATAATTTATAAAATGCTTTAGAATAATTATTATCTACGCATGGATTTTCGAAATGAAAATTTCCCTAGAGCTAATATGACTACTTTTGGAATAATTCAAACAGTTTTTACCCAAATAATGATTAATATAATTGTTGAGACTCTTTTTTATTTCTTTTTATCTTTTTTATGGGATCATTGAGTCTTTTTTTTTTTTTTTTGGAGTAAAGGGATCATTGAGTCATTGATTAATCCCATTGTCCCAACATACTATTTAAATGTTTATATTTTCCCGGTAATATAAATTAAAATTTGGAAGTTAAAATGAGCTCAACTATTAGGAACTAAATTGAGTTGGATCACAACACCTCGTAATTATAAAGTCTTTCTACTACTTAATTTTATTTACAAGACTTGAACATAAAATTTTACTAAAAGAAATAAGTGTTTTTTAAGAAAAAGACAAAATGATATTAACTAATATAAATTTACAAGCTG